CCAAATGTATTGATCTCCACTAATGATGATGTATTAGTTTTATTTAAGCTTTAAATCAATAAATCTTCAAAAATATTGAACTGAAATACATTAATTTTATATCATTATAAAGGAAATTGAAAGACCTTTTAAATAAGGTATCACTCGACCCCCCTTTCTATTTAAGATTTTGGGGTGGTGTCACCCCCGCTTAGGGGGCTACACGTGCTAACGTGATTTTTTGCCAAACTTGTGTCCCCCTCAAAAACAAAATCGACGGGTCTGAGCTTTTTTCATAAAAAAGACTGAGCTGCCAGTAAATGCGACTGTTTCGTTTTCGATGCGCCACCCTGTATAATGAACTTCCATTTTCATTTACCCTTTTCAATTAATGGTTGTATTTTCAGCTGTTGTATCTTTAATGCCTATTTGAAATACTGACTTTAAAATAATACGAGTCAGATATAAGGAAGGCTTAATAAGAATGCTAAGTTTCTGTGATTGATAGTTTCTTTGCTATTTTAATCGAATCTGACAAAAATGATTTTTAGGTTATACTGACAACAAATAGTATCTTGCGATATATTGTTTAAAAGGAAACTTATTTCTGAGTTGTATTTAAAGTTTTTGAACGTGATCCACATCCGATAAAATCGGCATTGATATTGTACAAACCGAAGAATGAAAAGTTTTTTATGATTGCTCGATGTTAAGTCATCATGTAGATGTCAATTTAGATGGTGTGTCTTAGAGTAAAATGTTAATTTCTGGACTGCATGTACTTGTACCTAGTACTTCTATCTCCTCACCCTGTGTATAAGTATATTACTTTTACATGTTTATAATTCTTATTGCATTTTTTGTTTGTAATTTCCAAGGGTAAGTGACAGAATACCTTCAAGCTAAGCTTCGCCGTCAATAAAAGACGTTTATAATTATTATTTTTTGTCTTCACAAGTGAAAGTCTCTCCGTTTAGTGGACCAGGGATAACATTCCGACAACCAAGAAAAATCACAACATCCTATCAAGCCAGAATTAACTCCCCAGCGAGCTCGACCCCTCACCAACCACCCTGAGGGTATGTTTACATTGGATCGTGTGTCTCGACGACCGCGATTGCTCGATTCGAAATTCCCGCTGGTAATGAATATCCTCGGATGTTTTTTCCAGGCTAACTCGATTATTCTTCGCTACCGTCTGTTTGTAGTGTAAGTTAAGACGGTTATGCAGTGTTTACATTGAGTCTCTGCTGGATGCACGGGGTAACGCGCTCCGAATAGCTAAATTGGTATTAATGTTGGACGAGATGAATTGTGTATGGAATGAGGTAGGAGACATATAGGAAATGAATTCAGACGATTTTTAAGCCCTGTGCATCGAGATTCATCAAGTCAAGTAGCTTGATAGTTTCATAAACTAAATAAAATTACTTGAAACGTTAATGGTTGGCTTAATTTGATATTTTATCGTTCTGCTTGACTTGAGGTCAAGCATTTTGAAACTACTTCATACTTGATGCCAAATTATATTTTTGTTCTACTAAAGGCCTTTATTTGTTTATAATACCGAAAGCCGTATTTAAATTCAAATAATTACATAGAGAATCGAACATTGTCACGAGACGCAATCTCAAATGGTGCATGTAAAGAGCGTTGCAAAATCAAAAAAAAGACTGATAGGGTCAAGATTACCTAGTTGAATTTTCAAGTACTTAACAGATAGACGTAAAAGCTACTCAACCTGATATCAGATAGCTAATGTTTAAGTAGCCTGAGAATCAATTGAAGTAATAAATCCCTAACTGTGCAGGCAAAACCCTTGTAGACAAAATAAATTAAAGAGAAAGCCTTTACACTATCTGCATCATCCTGATGACATTCGCAGAGCGACGAATCTTGTTCATGAAGTAAGAAATGCTCTTCATGGATTCCGCAATGAGCAATGGAACGACTTTCTGGCGGGGATGCTTGACTCAACCATTCCTCTCTGGAAGGTGGCGAAGCCGCTCAGAAACGGAAAGCGTGAACGAATCTCACACATCCACGGTCCTGGAGGCATTGTCTTCAGGACATAGGGAAAGGTTGAGGTTTTCGCCGATGCCATGGAAAGACGATGATCTCGACGAGGAGCAACACATCGTAAGATCTGTCAGGAGATATTTTAGGATCAACGGCGCCAGTGACAGTCGCGCTACCGTGGGTGATTTTTCTCCATCAGAAGATTCTTTTTCAGAAGCTTCTACAACCGAAGATCTGCTTAGTACATCAGCGGCATCTCCCGAGATCCCGCATTGCATACCAGCAGAGATTCAAGGTCATATTAAAGACTTGAAAGTGCGTAAAGCACCTGGGGAGGATCAAATCACTAATAAGGCGCTGAAGCTGCTTTCGCGGAAGTCCCTAACTTATCTCGTGGCAATAGTCGATGATATGCTAAGGATCCAGTACTCTTCATCCGCTGGGAGACCGCTGAAGTTATAATGATTCCAAAGAAGGTGGGTCCGATATTTCCCCAGGATTGTCGTCCCATTAGCCTGCTGTCAGCTCCGTCTAAGCTCGCTGAAAAGGTGATTCTACGCCACCTTGAGAATTTCTCGTCAAATCACCATGTGATTCCTGACGTGCAATTCGGCTTTCGGTCTGAACATAGTACGGAGCTTCAGGCGATTAGGTTGAGCATCTTGACAAAATCGTTAGAAAAAATCGAACATTTTTAGACCACATCAAAGTCTGTGAAGTGATTTTAACAATGCCTGAACGCTGCCTATCCTAAGAGATTCTCTTCTTTGCTCTCGTTCTTCCGTCTCTCCTTTCCTTCCATTTTTTCCTTAAAATTGTCTGGTTTCTGGGTTACCAGAAATGACAGACTTACAAACTGATACTGTGACTCAAGAGCTAAGGTCCCACGGACCGCTCTGACAACGAACGATGACTTAACTATCTGCATAGCACAGAATGAAGCGCCTAATCTTACCTGTTCTAACGGAGGAAAGAATCTGGGTGTAAAGGCGGGGTTTTTAGCCCTGAAAATAATTCATATTTTAAGTTGATTGCATCTATGGAATTTTTGCATTTCTATTTTTGCTCTGGTAACTATATGATTTTTTTCATGCCCAAAGTCTCCAATTTTGGTGTTTTTGTCCAAAATTGGTCCATATTTTAATATTCAACTTGAGTATTTTCATAGGAGCGCATAATCGCAACACTTACTTTTTGAAACCTATAATAAAACACAATAAACCACAAAATATACCGGGTGTTCAAAATTCGACTCTCACCAATTATGATCTCAAAAATGGTAAGAGATACGAAGTAGCTTAAATAGGGGCAAATGGGTATTTAGGTAAGTAACAAAACGCCCCTTAGAAAGTTTCGAAATATAAAGTATTTACGAAGACGAAAAAAAAGCGAATTTTCTCAAAATCGTTTTAATTGTTCCTGAATTTATTTGTAGGGGCATTTCAAAATAAATTGCACAATAACATTACCACTTTTTCACCTTTACAAAACGGCATAATTAGAATTTTAATATGACCCTTCGTCTCTTGTCTTTCAGCATCAACTTAATTTTTTATTAATGACGCCATATTGGATTTTTCCATACGTAAAAGGAGTTTTCAATTCTGATTCCAAAGATGTACATACATTGACATTTTCAAAAGTTAGTTATTTCAAAAACAAAATTTCCTAGGTAGACCTTAAAATTATCAGTTATATTTTCATATATCACATTTATCACCAAATCACCTTTTTTCTTGACTTTATTTGGGATGATATTTCAAAATAAATTGCATGATGTTATTACCCCTTTTTTCCTATTTATTATGACGTAGTCAAATTTTCAATTCGAGGTACCTTCTTTCGACTTCTATCACCAACTTTGCTTTTTCATATGGACACTATATTGAGATTTTGTACATTTAAATGAAATTTTGAGTCCTAAATTCAGCGGTGTATTTGTGTATACATATATTGAAATTCTAATTATATCGTCTTGTCGGGGAGAAAAAGTTGTAACGTTAATAAGCAATTGATTTTAAAATTCCACTACAAATAAGCTTATAGAGATATGGGTGAGACTGCAACCGATTTCGGTTGTTTGTAATCGTAAAAAGTGTGGAAATACTATACAAAAAATGACATATATTTTGAAAAACAGTGTAGTGTTCCTTTTCAATTTTTGTTGGAATAAAGCTGCCCCTAGAAAAAAAATTGTAGTACAATGCGCGTATATATTACTAGAAAAACTTACCCATGACATCATCTTTCTAAAATGATATTTAAAAGCGCTTAATTGTTTACAAATAGTCTGTCAAATCAATGCAAGTTAAATATGAATCAATTAAACGTCCCAATATGGTCAATGGCCACTTTTACCTCAACGATGACCAATTCAGCAGCTAAAAACTAAATGTAGGACCTAATTTCCAACTAAAAGTTTTGAATTAAGCAATGTTGTCAAAAATTAGTACGTTCATTTGCAATTATTATTTAATATTTTTTATTAAATATTTGTTATAACTTCTGATTTTTGCCTATACCTAGAAATATGATGAATTACCAGCAATTCTGTATCTATATGTTTCACATCACACCACATTAATTGAAGATTTTATGTAGATAGTCTTGCGACTATACGTTGACAAAAGAATATCTAGGTTAAATATTCGAAAATAATAATAACAATAATAATATTAATAATAATCCGGTTTTAGTTATACAAAGTATAAAATGGCGAAGTGTCGCTAAAAAGCGTATTTCAACTTAACCCATATGTATCAATTTTGGACAACAATGCCAAAATTTGGACGTTTTGGGCTTTAAAAAATAATCAACCACTAAAATGCTGATGAAAACTTAAAATACATATGTCCTAAACTATTTAAATGCAAAAATAAATATTGTCAGCTTGAAGTTCGAGTTACTTCCAAGGCTGACTGCTTGTCACCTGAGAAATAAGATGCGTATTAACCTCCAATACTTTATTTTGATTAAATCAACAGTAACATGAATATAACACTTCTTCATTAAGCAGTAATTTTTTACTTTTATGTACTAGAGTAGTACGGTGCAACTGTTGCTTTGAGTGGTACCTTTTTGTCCTGAAACAAAGGGAAATTTAGATTTCCTGTTGTATCGATCCCTTGTGATATCAGGGAAATGTCCACCATATGTTGATGAATCAATATTCAGCAGACTATACCGCACTTGACATTTATGAAGTGAAAAGTCGAAACGCCGTTTCAAAGTGTTCTTCTGCTGGTACTTCTTTGTTTTTAACAACACAACGAATGCAATATCAATAGTCATAACATAGATGGAATTCTTAGATCCATGAAAGTCGGCAATTACCAATTTGCATCTATACAGGATGGACTCTCGGCTAGACTCAACTCGCAATATCTGGACCTAAAATTTCTTTCACTGATGATGCTTGTAAATATTTTGCCATAGCAATAGTGGCAATTTACTCTGTGTTCTACTACTGAGCTTATAAAATTAGTCGTTTTAGCTATTTTACTCCAATCTACCACAAAAAAGTTTGGACTGGCGTTTAGACGTATTTGTCTGCAGTGGTATATACAGGGTGCTTCAGAAAGACTTGCCAAAATTCATCAAAAAATAACAAAACTATAAATATGGGTCCACGGTTTGAGGATAAGACACATTGCCTAATTAATGTTATAATGACGTGCGATAGCTTTCTTCACATGCCATATAGTGTTTCCAATATAAAGCTTCACGGTGATTTCAGAATGAGGGAGGCTAAATGTTTTCATAAGAATAATTTAGGATTTTACCTCAAAACTTCAAACCTAAATATCTCCGAAACGACTGATCTGACAAAAAGCCCCCAGGTGACAAAATTTATGGAAAATTGAATGGTATTTTATTTCTCCGAAAAGGCCAGTGGCGTAGAAAATATTTCCTACTATAGGTCCACAAATACCCCAGTTTCTGCGTACTTGGTTTAGATTGAGCCTGGAAACTCTGTGAGTTCATTGCTTATAATGTGCTCACTGAACGTCTGAAGTCTTAACTCACTATCTTCACCCGCTCGGTAGATATAATTTTTTTCAATTTCATAAATAAAACTTCATCATCCTGTACTTCGGTAGGGGAGCTTCTTTGGACGCATATTAATGAAAACTTTTTTGTGTTTCTATGTATTTTCTACCCTAGAAATATTGGCTCAATACGAGTAGTATATTTTGTCGTTATAAGTAGATATTATGAACGAAAAATATCCTTGGTTAAAATAGCCAAACGACATCAATATTCTATTTTTATTTTGACAGCGAAACCGCAAGTTGAACAAAATGATCTAAGAAAATGTTCCCTTTAAAAATCTTGATTTTCTGTTGCACCGTTTCGTGAAAGTAATCCAAAAAATCATTGTGCGTCTGAATCTCATGGTTATGACTAATATTTGTGCCTTTAATTGCCATTTCGGGAAAATTTATGTCTTTTTGTCTTGATGTTTCTTTTTTCAGAATTTCTGACTGTTGAGCCATAAAATATATTGAAAGCACTGCCATCTTAGTCTCTTTAAGAGAAAATGTAAACATCTTAAAATAATAGATTTCCTGAATCTTTTCGGTAGGTTTTAAAATGTGGTACAAACGATTTTTTTTCGTGTGATTTCCGAGAAAAGCATACATTATCTATCCGAGTCGGTCTACTTGATTCTTTAAAAGCTTTATTGTCGAATGTTACACTTCAGCTTATGTATAGATTTGTATCCTATGAGCGCTAACCACAGACTGACTAACCATGACTAGTGACTGAATGCAGTGAAATAGGATTAAATAAGGCAATGTGCTGGTCCAGGGAATCTTAATCATACCCTTTAGTGGTGGGGGAGATATTCTGTACTATAGCGCACATAAGATTTTCTGCTTCTTGTACAGTGGACACTTCTTTTTGTTTATTAGTAGTGTAACTCAAAAAATCTTGGAGCAAAAGTAAAACAAACTTCTATGTATCTCCCTAGGAAAATCGCAAAAGTTTATTTTCCTGCTTTTATGATGTATGGAGATGTTCTTCTCCATATATTTGCGAACCAACACAAAATATGCATTTATGTAGATATATATGGTACCTATCGATACGTTGTTTATCTAAATCGATATAACAGGTATTAGACGCTACCATTTGCGAGATTGAAAAAAAATCACAGAAAAATGGTCTTATGATATCGTCATGAAATTCCTGCTAATTTAATTATTTAATCTCAAAACGAGAATAACATCCAAATAGCGTTTCTGCTTAATTTTTTGAACCTAATATTATAAATTATAAATCCAGGGGCTGATAGCCTTGCATTTTAAAGCAACTCAATGTCCAAACATAAAGATGCAAATTACCTACTGCTCAGTTCGTGAACACACGAATGGTATTAAGTAAAAGTACTCCCAAAAAATTAGTAAGAAATGGGCAAGCCCTCCCCCTCTCTATAAACGCCACTGCTGTCACCTTATTTGGATGCTCAAAGTTGTAACCACAGCTAGCTGAATTTGAATTCGATTTATATATGACATTTGCGGTACAAGGGACCTCACAATTTGCTTTCAGTTGATACGTGGTGTCTCACCTCCAGATCCTCATCATAGCTCAATTCAACCATGAATGGGCACATGACCAAATCAATGAACCCAGCAATCCTCATGGCCCATAAAAATCCAATGAGATGAACTGCTTGTCCAGCCAATAGAGGTCCCAAAGAGTATGCCACGGCTACAGAAGCTTGCTGTAGAGCATAAATGGGGCCATAATCTCCACCAGCACCTATTTGCAAAACATTCTGTCGTTAGAGGGAAATTGATAAAAAGAATGCAGAATGGTCAATTTTCGATTATCTGTGCTATTTTACTTTATAATTGCTTCACCACTGCTCTTAGAATGAGATTTTGTTCTAATATAATTGATAGTATGACAGTTAGTCTTTTAAGAAGTATTTTGCTTTATATTCATGAGTGTGCAGTGTCAGAAACGAGAAGCGTCTAGTTTTACTACTAATAGCAGAATTTACAAAATTAATTGAATTCTACCAGGTGAAATACGTTAATCATTAATTATATATATCCCTGCATAGAGTATCAAGTAAAAGTATGAAGCTTTCTTAAAAATCATGAGTAATAGAAGAAATCTTGACGTTGGTTCCTTTACTCTATACCTGTAATCGAGGTTTTAATGAAATTTTAATACAAGGTCACTATTATGCCAGGGACAAAAAATAATTCCTAGCAAATTAAAACAAATGATCTCTCTTGAGTTGCTCTCCTTCGATGTGCCATTTTTGAGTAAAAAAAATAAAAACCGTTCTATTGTCTAAATTGCAAAATTATTACTAATTTAATTGAAAAATCATTGATTCAAATTGCGGATTTTGTGTAATTTTTTGAATATACCGCTGACAAAAGGTCACATCCCTTGGAAAATCAATGGGACGTAATGCCTGTACTGTAAAATATGGTAAGGATATAACAAAAAGTCCACTAAAATTCTCCAAAGCAATTTGATGGCAAACATTTAAGTGTCTAGCGATCATCTTCCTCGTACTCGTTTCAGGATGTTCTTCGACTTCGTGCAGCACTGCTTCCTAAATTTCAGGTGTTCTCACACTTAAATGTTCCTTTTCAGGCATAACCAGTTTCAACAAGACGACGATGAATATTAGAAAAGGTTCGACTATCGGGCAAAGCACGATCGGGATATCTCTGGTGATAAATCCGTCTGGATTGCTCATAAGTACCGTCGGCAGGGCCATATACGTAATGCATTTCAGCCATTTCTGCATTTGAATAATTCACCACTATTAACAAGATTGTAAAAACTAAATAATGAAAAAGATGTCACAGCGAACAGATTTGAATAACAGAGACTTGTCAAATGTCAAAATCCTGTGACATATTCCAGAGCAACTAGATATTTATTGCTAAAATGCATTCTTCAATTATTACATTATTTTTTTCGGACAATAGAACGTTTTTTATTTTTTTACTCAAAAATGGCGCATCGAAGAAAAACAATTCGGGAGAGATCATTTGTTTTACATTGAACGGGGAATTCAAAAATAATTTTTATTTCGCAAAAAACCATTAGCGTACCATTTTTTTCTTAAAAAATGTCGGAATCAATACCCGTACGCACGCCACTGTTAAAGCTAAAAATTATTTTTGCATTGAAAAATATGCAACCTTATTAACATTCACTACGTACTAAATATCAGTGAAGTATCTGAAGCGGTTCTGAAAATATTAATTAATTTCCATCTTTTCCTAAAACTTCAACACCCCGAGTTTGTGTAAGGAACCATTTTTTGAACATTAATTTAAATATTCGCATATCATTAAGGAACATCCTGTATATGACTGTTCTGTGTGTGGATTTTTACGGAGATGCACGAAATTGCATAGGTTGCAAGCGTTAAGGTTTTAAAAAACTATGCAATTTCATACAATAAATGTCTTGAAAATGTGAACAACACTATAAAACCAAGACTTGTCTTTTGATTTCAACACTCTTTACTTTGCATCCATTTTCAAATTTGTGACCAAGACAGAACGACAGGTGGAGAATTGCCAATGAGTGACCTAGAGGCTAAAAAGTATTTTTCAAGTCACAATATTTTTCAGCAAATGATAGTTATCATCTTTTGTCTATAAAAATAGTAATGATATGAATCACCCTGTATAAATACAATTTCTTGATTCCATTACAAACAACTCATTGACAACATATTCTGTATGTGCGCCGAAGCACAACAGCACTGCCCTGTATAAAGGAAACAAAAAAGGATCCGCATTATAGGAACAAATGTTGGTATCTTTATAAGTTCGAAGACCAAAAGTTCTATCGCGAGTGGCCCTTCTACTTGCAACTATAAATTCTTTGACTAGAACCTACCCATTCTGTCTGCTAGTGAAGCCAACATTGGCACCAGAGCAGCATCTGCCATTCCAACTCCTAATCCAATACAAAAGTGGGGTAGAGATAGTTGAGATATCGTATTTGCCAACGGCAGAAAACAACATGATAGTCCGGACATCACCAAGGCGCAGAAGGCCATACGCCAAGGTTTGGCTGGAAGAAGACCTGTAAAATGCCACATCAATATTTTGATTTACTTCGTGCACGTATACCTACTGAACCAGCAGAGAATCATTGAGTTCAAGTATTTATTTAGATCATACGAGGGATGTCTTTTAAGTTTTGCATATAGAAACATAGTAGGCCGCGCGGATCGAACGTCAGTACTGAATCTCAACCCCACTCTTTAGTAAATTTAAATTCAAAGTTTCACAACAATACGTGCAGTGTTCTCACTACAGTGAATTTTTAAGTGTCACCAAGTCATTAGAAAAATGGAACAACTTTCAGAGACAATTATCGTAACAAGAATGCTTTGCTGAGTTACTGTCTGTTTTCGGCAATGAAGCGCCACATCAGTCGACAATTTCCCGTTGGTATGTAGAAGTCAAACGTGGATGGGTGAGTCTTAGCGACGATCCCAGTGTGGGTGCACCAAAAACGGCAGTCACCCAGGAAAACGTCGATGCTGTGCGGAAACTCATCATTGAAGATAGACATGTGACATATCGCGAGATTGAGGCGTCCTTGAAGATCTCAAAGACCTCGATTCAAAAAATTTTACATGAAGAATTAGGAGTTCAGTTCATTCTTCATTTTTAAATTACTTTGCTGCCAAATGTATTGATCTCCACTAATGATGATGTTTTAGTTTTATTTAAGCTTTAAATCCAAAAATCTTCAAAACTACTGAACTGAAGTACATTACTTTTATGTCATTATAAAGGGAATTGAAAGACCTTCAAAATAAGGTATCACTCGACCCCCCTTTCTATTTAAGATTTTGGAGATGGTGTCATCCCCCCTTAGGGGGCTGCACGTGCTAACGTTTCTGCCAAACTGGTGTCCCCCTCGAAAACAAAATCGACGGGTCTGAGCGTTTTTCCAAAAAAAAAACTGGGCTGCCAGTAAATGCGTCTGTTTCGTTTTCGATGCGCCACCCTGTATATTTATGAATGCTTTTTTTGAATATAGTGAATGCTGAAATGGATTGAATATGTTGAGGTGAATCATTGTAAAGTTTCAGTGCAGAGTAATGTGGACATTTTTCGGTAGAATTTAGCTTATGTGATGGGTAGATGTATTTCTGATTTTTGTAAATGTGGCTGAAGACGTTTTTTTCAAACTTTACTTTATGGTTAAAAATAAATAGTAGAGTGTTATAGATATAAATTTCCGGTTGACTTTAAATATACTTCTACCTGACTCTCTAGTTTTCATTTTCAACATTGGTCTTATTATCCTCTTTTGTATGATAAAAATTCTATTGGCTGCTGGACTATTACCCCAAATTGTTATTTGATAAGACATACTAGAATACGCAAACCCATAGTAGGCAGCCTGCACAGCTTGCGAGGGCAGGTGACAAGTGAGTACTCGTAGTGCATGACATGCTTGATTGAGTTTTGAAGCTATACTCTCAATGTGCTTATCGAACTTAAGACAGCTATCGTATGTGACACCCAGGAGGTTCATTAATTAAGAGTAGTTGTTTGGTGACATGGCTTGACTGAAATAGGACACAGCACGTTTTTTGTACGTGGAATGATAACTTATTCACCTGCAGCAGTTTTGAATATGGTTTATTTGGGTTTCTATCAAGATTCGGATATCAGACGTTCCATTATATGGTATCACAATAGTTATATTTAGATTTTGCGTGTTTTCCGTAGTGGTGGATATATTATTAATATAAATAATAAACAATGTTGGGCACAGTGTTGAGGAACACCAGTACCATATGTTCGAGGACTAGATGTTATTCGTTTCCCAGTTTTGTTCAAAATTATTTTCTGTCTTCATTACAGAAATAAGATTTAAGCCAGTAGTACGCATCCCGCGTATACCATACTTATATAATTTGTTTAGCAATATTTCGTGATTAATGCAATGTAATGCTTTTTATAGGTCCACAAATAAACCTCATACTGCTCCTTGATTCTTTCGATGGATTGTTGTTGTGAAATCGAACAGTGCTGTGTTTACACCTCTACCTTTCATGAAGCATGTTGGTTATTTGTGAAGTATTTATATGATTATAAAAAATTTAGAAGACGGTTGTTATAAGCAATTTCAAAAATTTTCGAAAAATTTATCAGCAAGCTAATAGCACGGTAGTTGTATGTATAATCAAGATCGCCTTTTTCATAGATTGGTAATACAAGTGTCATTTTTCTGGGAATTCCCCTTCACTAAGGGATGTATTTAGGATGTTAAGAAGAGGGTCAGATACACAACTATTTGTGCTTTTTAGGTTGCATACAATTCTGAGCAATTCATCATGATCTATTGGAGTGAAAAATATTGTTTTATTTTTTAGTTCTAGGTTCCAGTCATAATTCAAATTTGGTAGTTTTGAGAGGTGTTTTGTAGCAGCTTCGATCAAGCTTTTATTGAAATGGTTCGCTAAAGCATTTACATCATTATGTACCGGTAAGACAAACTGATCTGACGACGTTTTGGGTGTGTTAGTTAATTCTCGCAGTACATTCCAAATTCCTTTATTTCTATTGCCATGATTATTTACTTTGTTTTTTAGTATTATTTTCAATTTTTTAATAGTTTCTTATATGTCTGATTATAACTTTTAAAAACATCTTTATATTTTATGTCGTCTTGGGAAATCATTTGAAGAGCACTCACCCTGTCGATTCTATTCCGGGGTAATCCAAGGAAGTTTCTTACTCCCTTTTTTATCTTCAGAGGAAAATACTAATTGAAACTGCTTTGTATTATCTAAGAAAATATATCCCATTTTTTGTTTACGTTACACTACTATAAATTTCATTCCATGATGCTGATTTTAGATCTTGTATTAAACTATTTATATGCGAGTTAGAAAACACTCTAATCAATTTGGATTCATGATCGATATTGGTATTGAGTGAAAAGAGGGTATATTGCCCTTTAAGGTCAGAAAAAAGCACCTTGTAGAATCTGAGAGTCCTGTATGTTGCCTAATTAATTTTATTCGTAAATTGAAATGAAAGAGCTCAACTTAGGCGAACCATATTCGAGCTAAAATACTTGTTATTGTCTTTCCAAATTCAGTCAGATAATTATTTTAGAATTAAGCAACCTACACAATTTTAAATCACACTTCAAACTCAGATAACAATCAAAGTCTACAGAGTGTTTCAGTTTATTGTTGCATAACTTTAAGATTCGATAGAACCTTTAAAATTAATGCATAAAGTCTATATAAACATGGGTCGAAAAATGCGTGGCTTCCGAAATACAGGGTGTTTAAATTTACTTTCTAAAATAATTTTTTTTAAATATTTCCAACAATATTTGATGTATAACAGTGAAAATTAGTATACAAAGGTTTTTTGGTACGATAAAACGAACCATTGGCATAGTTTTACTGTAGCCGCTAGAGGGCGCTCTCTACTATACCTGCAGTGTATTAAAATGACCGAAATTTTTTTCTTAGTGCAGTTTTTTGCTTTTTGAATAAAAAAACTGATTCTTCGCACTTTTCAACATATAAAAGCTCTCTTGTGAATTTTCGTTATAGTTAGCCGTTATTGAGATATTTCGATTTTTAAGGTTCGATGCATTTTTAATTATGTATGATAAAATAACGTTAAAAAGTTAGTGTCTCGATCTCGATAATTTTTAGAAGGAGGCTGTGCCTGAAAATATTTTTGAAATTGATAGCAGAAAAAGGTTAAGCGTCAATTAGTTGACAGTTAGTTTTGTTGTCTGTTGAAACCTGAAACGTTTTTTTGCAATTGTGAATGCATGAAATTTAGTTTCTTTTACCTGTTTTTTTTTGTAAGTTTTATAAAAATGCCATTTTTATTCTCCAATCAAGAGTTAGCGGATATTCATTTTGTTCTTGATAGAACTGATAATAATAGGGAGTTTTTAAGTAACGTTTTATGGACCGATGAGTCATGCTTCACTAGACGTGGAGTGGTAAATTTTCATAATCAACATATTTGGTCGCATGAAAATCCGCATGCAGTTCGGGAAAGAAATTTTCAGCATGAATTTAGTGTGAACGTGTTGATTGGTATCTACCGTAATCGACTATTTGGACCCTACCTTTTGCCTGCAAGGATAAATGCTGCGACCTTCTTGGAATTTTTAAAGGCTGAACATGCAAATATGTGGGATGATGTTATGTTCGATTTAAGAAGATTGGCCTGGTTCCAGCTTGATGGTTGTCCAGCTCATTATTCGAGAATAGTTAGAAACTGGCTGGACGAAAATTATCCAGAAAGATGGATCGGCCGTGGAGGACCAGTCTCCTGGCCTCCACGATCCCCTGACCTAAATCCATTAGATTTCTTTGTGTGGGGATTTCTAAAAGAAAAAGTGTACCAGACTCCCGTAACCACAAGAGATATGCTAATAAACAGAATCAGGAATGCATGTGATGAAATAAGGCCTTATTTGAATAATGTTATACCACGTTCGATCATTCGTAGATGTGAATTGTGTATTGAACAATCGACAACATTTCGAGCAACTACTTTAGTTTTTGTATGTTTGTCCTAACTATCCAATAGCATTTTAGTTGTAAATAATAAATTTAATTTGTTAAAAATAATAATTTTTTTGTGTTTATTTGGGGTTAGGAATTATTGCTGTGTTTAAAAACACAATCTAAACGATCATCTTAATTACTTGTAATGCCCAAATCGAAAATGTAAAAAAAAATATTATTTTCCCATAAATAATTAAAAATGCATCGAACCTTAAAAATCGAAATATCTCAAAAACGGCTAACTATAACGAAAACTCGCAAGAGAGTTTTTTATGTTGAAAAGTGCGAAGAATCAGTTTTTTTATTCAAAAAGCAAAAAATTGCACTAAGAAAATATTTTCGGTCATTTTAATACACTACAGGTACAGTAGAGAGCGCCCTCTAGATGCTACAGTAAAACTATGCCCATGGTTCGTTTTGTGGTACCAAAAAACCCTCGTATACTAATTTTCACTGTTATTCATCAAATATTGTTCGAAATATTTAAAAAAAACTATTTCAGAAAGTAAATTTAAACACCCTGTATTTCGGAAGCCACGCATTTTATTCGACCCATGTTTATATAGACTTTATGCATTAATTTTAAAAGTTCTATCGAATCTTAAAGTTATGCAACAATAAACTGAAACACCCTGTATATGCGCATTGTTTGTTCCTGAAATTGAGTAAAATTTCAAGGTAATCACATCCGTGAAATGTTTGCATATAAATGATTTAGATCACATGTATTTTTAATTTTTGTTTACATTTACAATGTTGAAATTTTGGCATTTTTTGAAAAATTCAACCATAGTATACAATCAGATGGAAAACTATGTACTTCTTTGTTTCAACCTTTGTGTTTATTACAGTAGTTGCAGCAATACCTATTTTTATACTGGGCGTTTCGGAACAATGTAGCAATATTTATAGGGCATACGATCAGAATTTCTCTCAAAATATCCAGATACTTGGTCCTGAAATGCCATCTGACCGAGATACAGGGTGACGAAATTATAATTTTTGAAATCGATAATAATATATCTTGGGTGACTGTTTAACAATAAATATTATTATTATTTCATATTAGTTGGTATTCATTTGGTTGTTATTATTTAGCATTTGTTTGATATCAACAATTTTATTGTTTTCGATACGCTTACCAGTGAAGTTGCACCCAAGAAAATAGCCAATACTGTCTGGTATAAAGATTGCTCCCAGCTGCCATTTTGATGGCGGTGGATCCATTTTCCCTAGTAACCATATCGGTACACACGGTTCCAAGATAGCCATAGTCGAAGTGCACACACATATTGTTATTGTGACCAAGAGGATCCTATTGTCTCTCAGCAGGCCCAAACATTCGCCATATGATCTTCCGATAGTGGATTGGTGGACGTATTCATCTTCTTCTTGAAGGAAGACTAGCTGAAGCACTTCAATATATTGTTAGTATCGAGAACGCAATGAATGGTACTTGTTCTTCAAGATATACGTGGACAAGATTTAATAATTACCTACATACCCTTTAGGTTTCTGATAGAGATATCTGAGTAATATAATCTCGAAGCAACAAAAGTCTTGCCTTTACATTTCTTCAGAAACCGAGAATTGGTAATACTAGCGACAGTGTTATACCTTTACTCTACGTAAGACATACCGTGAATCTGAAGTTTTTTCATAGCTTATTTGCATTTTCAAATACAAGCACACCTTATAGAGAACAGCTATTGCTACTTATTATTTTCTATGGAAGACGTACCGAAATTGTAACTAAATATGGATACACTTTCGTAACATCTGAGGTTGAATCAACGATCATGATAACAATCAGGGGAAAAGGTTGTATCACACTCCAGATGGACTACGACTGAAGGAAAGGGGGAAAAGGGGGGCTTTTCTGATATTCCTAATCGTTGTGTCTTAATAAAATTTAAAAATTAAATATCAGTCTTTAATGCGTAGCTAATTCAGCGATCGTCAACAGCAGGTAATGCTGAATGATAAGTACTCCACGCCATTGAAAGTGACCATTGGTGTTCCTCAGGGCTCCATTCTGGGTCCGCTAATGTTCATTATTTACACGTCTAATCTATATTTCAGTCTTCACTCTTGTAAAGCTCATTTTTATGCAGATGAAATACAAGTGTACTTATCATTTCCTCCAGCTCAAACATTGCCTGCTGTTGATCCGATAAATAAAGACCTTGAGACTAAAGCTTCTCGAAACATATGCTTAGACTTGAATCCGGCTAAAAATACAGTCATGTTATTCGGGCCGAAAAAATGGAGAGACCGTTGTGAACTTCTGGTGAGAATAAACCTCGATAACAATACTTTAGAAATAAGTTCGATAGTGCGTAATTTAGGCTTATACCTTGACAACAACTTGAGGTTTGAGGATCATGTAAACAAGTGCTCCAGAAGGGCGTATTGTAATTTAAAGACAATGCAGGGTTATCCAAATTAAGTGTCCACCATTAGTAACTTTGTTATTAGTGAAAATACAAAGTTGTTTGAATTAGCAAACTAGTAGCATTTTTAACGCTGGTAAAAATGAGAAATAAAAAAAAACAATTGAGAGTCGTTATTTTTTTCAGTAAAATAACATTTTTTAAATGGTAACCCCTGTATATTATATTTTTTTCTGTTAAAGCATCAAATTTTAAACAAAAAAGTTCATAATGACTTTTCCGCTAAAGTCAAAAATAAAGTCAAAATAACGATAAATATTTTTAATTATTTGCAGTATTATAATATTAAGACGGCTATGAAAACAACATGGCGTTCGCGATTTGACAGCATTAAGATAAGCGACAAATTGTTAAACTGGACATACTCGCAACTAGAAGGCTTTGGAAAACAATGATAAAATCAAATAATGTCAAACATTAGTGTAAATACTTGTTTATAAGCTTTATTGTGTCACTAATTTAAAGAAAAATGTTCTCCCATGAAGAAAAGTGTGATATGTTAGAATGCTATTTAGTGTGCAGAAAATCCTCCTTGAGAGCAAGAGAATACTACAGTGAATTATATCCCGCTCGCATTCAACCGTATGAACGATATTTTCTGAGACTTTATCGAAAATTTAGGGGCAACGAAAATGTTTTTTGCTAAAACAAGGGCAAAAAAAGAATTCATAATAAGCGAGGCCACGGAAATTGCAGTTATTGGATATTTTGAAGCTTATCGTGAGAATTCAATAGCAGATATTCTCATGTTTAATAGAAAAAAACACCATTATTGGTCAAGAGAAAATCTTTTGTTAGTACATCCAAGAGGCCCACAAGTCCGTTTCAGTTTCAACGTTTGGTGCGGTATAATTGGTTCAAAAATTGTTGGCCCGTTCTTTTATGAGGCAACCCTAACTGGTGAAAGATATGTGGAATTTATGTCAGAAATTCTGACTAATTTCTTAGACGAATTGGATCTTATAAGTAGACATCATCTGCATTTTCAGCAAGATGGCGCACCTGCCCACAACTCCAGAGGTACTTATCATTTTCTAAGTACTACTTTTAATGATCAGTGGATAGGAACAAATGGCCCAATACAGTGGCCTCCCAGATCACCAGATCTAAACCCACTTGATTACTTCTTGTGGGGTTACTTAAAGAACCAAATTTACAAGCGAAGGTACGATAACCTTGACGCGTTAAAGACTGCAGTTAGGGAAAAGATAACCCAGATAGATGGTAGAACCATACTTAAGACAGTTCGAGCAGTTGAAAAACGTGCCCAAAAATGTATTGAAGAACAAGGTGGTGTTTTCAAGCATCTTCTTTAAAAAAAATTGTTATTGTATTTTGTAAGATTATAAGTTGATGTTGAAAATAAAGTTTGTCGATACAATTTAATTGTTTCAGATTGGAGGCCATAACTTCAACAATTTGTAACCTAGGAGAAAAGTTATTGAAAGCTTTTTTGTTTAAAATTTGATGCTTTAACAGAAAAAAATATAATATACAGGGGTTTCCATTTAAAAAAATGTTATTTTACTGAAAAAAATCAAAATAACGACTCTCAATTGTTTTTTTTATTTCTCATTTTTACCAGCGTTAAAAATGCTACTAGTTTGCTAATTCAAACAACTTTGTATTTTCACTAATAACAAAGTTACTAATGGTGGACACTTAATTTGGATAACCCTGTATACGGTCAAAAATCTTACATGAACCAAAAAACTAAAGTCATACTATGCAATTCTCTTGTTCTGCCGCATTTCAACTTCTGTGATATTGTCTATGACAAATGACTAACTAAATTCACCTGTGATAAAATACAACGCGTGCAAAATTCTTGTCTGGGACTTTTTAGTTTAAGAAAATACGATTCAGTGTCATCAAAGCTTACGGATGCTGGCTGGCTGAACATGAAGCAACGTAGGCTGCTTCATAGCCTCGTACAATACCATAAGATTATTATACATACAGGGTTTGTCCGGAAATAATAGGACTGAGTCGATTTAAAAAAAATTATTGATCCAATCGTTACAAATCGTTAAAAACTTTCAAAATAGGCTCCTTCTGCGTCGATGCAGCGCTGCCAGCGCGATTTCCAAGCATTGAAGGCGTCACGGAAGGCAGTCTCCGGAATAGCCTTGAGAGCCGCGGTGCATGCTGCTTGGATCCCCTCTGTCGTCTCAAAATGCTTGCCTTTCATCGTCCTGTTCAGGCGAGGAAACAAAAAAAAGTCCGGGGGCCACATCTGGGCTGTAGGGCGGCTGCGGAAGCGTTGGGATGCCGGCCTTGGTCAGGTAGCTGTTCACAAGAAAGGCGGTGTGAGCCGGGACGTTGTCGTGGTGCAACTTTCAGTCGGCTGCGATGTCTTGTCGGACCCGACTGACCCTTCGTTTGAGTCTCCTGAGCTCTTCCACGTAAAACTTGGCGTTGACGGTTTGTCCAGGAGGAAAAAATTCATGGTGGAGGATGCCTTTGATGTCTCGGGATTATACTCAAAGATCCACGACTCGTCACATGTAATTACGTTATTCAAAAATTGGGGGTCACTTTCACACATGTTCAAATTTTCTTGGCACACTGATCATATCAAACGTCTCTGTCGCAGATTTACCGAGTTTCAGACAGAATTTAATCGCGTACCTCTGCTCTAACCAACGCTGCATTTTCGTCTTGCACCACTCACAGAAACACGTCGCGTAAAAATGCCTGTCCTGACTCTCCAAGTGCTCAGAGACAACTGACGAGCCGCTCATTCGTTAGCTAGGAACGCCCTCTACCGAATCCGGTCCACCGCCTTCTCATTCTACCACCTTATTCGGAAGATCTTTTTCGTATAATATCAGTAAACTTTATAATAATATCCCGCGAGAGTATACTTCTCTTTCTATTGATTTGTTTAAAAAACGTATACGCTATTACATTGCAGGTTATTGCATGGTATGACTTTGGAGTCATTATGTATTTTTATAGTACCATTTATCAAATTAGCCGCTAGGGTCCATTCTCTGATACTGCTTATACATACATATATTATATTTTTTACCTCATTTATACACCTTGGGGAAAAAACATTATTATACATTATGATGAATAAGAGCGATGGAAATATACAAAAGTATGTAGGTGCGTGAAAGACACTCGATTGTAGGATCCTATATGGCAGCGTCGGAGTGTGACGGACAACGGGGTAAAGTAGAAGAGTGATAAAAGAGAGAGATGGCAGAACGGGCGCTGGCGCCTACCGCTTAGACGGATGCGCTCAACAAATGCGATTTGTTTCTCCCATTCGCAGAGTTGCCGATACCAATATGTCATATTTCTAAGAAATCGGGAAAAATGAAAAAAGTTCAAACTATTAAAATTGTATTAATGTTTCAGGGTTCAAATCATATTTTTCATGTTTGTATATTGTTGTATAAATGATTTTGTAATCCCTATTCTTGTTGCCAGTAGAGATACAACAGTATTGAGAGAAATCATGGACCGCTAGATAGGGCTACAACTACCATATGACTATCAAATAGTAGTGATAAACAGGGTTTGTTTATAGCACAGTTGCCTGGTGTGGCGAATTTGCGCCATAGGGGCGATTTGACAACTTTGAAGGACAGCTATAACGGTTACTATGGTGCCCGGTATTCGGGAATGTGGCAATAAATGATGATTCCTAACGTTTATTACGCCAGATTGTTTACTGACTTGCGCAGTACAACATGACAATCAACGTGACTGAGCACCTGGTAACCCTGGTTTAAGGTGTTATATTTAAAGAGCTTGGGGCAGTTAGGTATCTAGGTCACATTTTTTAATGTATTTCGAGATATCCGTAATGTTGAGTAAATACTAGATCACGTTTATTGCTTAGTTTGCTAAAAATTCTACAATAGACGTACATTTTGAGAAACAGAGATTTGGTGACGACAAAATCGTAAAAATATAACGCATTTTCGTAAAATAATTTCTTTGTTGAAAAGACTGTGGCTTGATGACCCATTGAACGAGTATAGTGTCCCGCTCCGCTTGGAATATTCGAAACACTATACTCCAGCAACATTCAGCTTCAATGCTATCTTTATGAAGTTCTAACGTCTAGGCCATGCTGATTAAAAGCTTAAATGAATCAACACTTAACTCTAAATTCCCCACAATTCGGGAAGCTCTACTCAAATTGGCAACACAGCGTATCTGCCTATTATTCTCATTCGTGATACATGTCTGCGGTTAACGGTAGGAAATATGTACGAATAGCGATGAAAGTAGACGAGCCGATGCGCTGTTGCCAAGAAATGATTTCCCATGTATAACAATGGTTTTTCCTAAGGTGTATATGCTTATCTTATTATGATGTAAACCTGAAACCAGGGGTGAAGTAGAAGAGCGGATATGCCGAACTTCGCTCCTCCCACTATATGTTCATATAAAACTGGTTTTGCAACTGGTTTTGAATTTTCTTTTGTGGGAATAAAGACATAATTATTATTATTATTATTATATCGTGTTGTTATAGAGTACTAACACAAGAAATTTAACAATCTATCATTATGCGGACGATCGAAAAATATCCTGCAAAGATTCTGGCTTCTAAACAAAAATTACGCAGATTATGCAGAGTGAAAAAATAGATTATACTCTTTACATCCATTACCAGAAGGATGCCTTATCACTGATCCATTATAATCCGGATCAAGAGTTTTGATCTCCTGTTAGTAAGATCGGGCCTTAGTGACATGCAAAGATCGTTAATAGGAGAGTCGATGAGGACACACCAGAAGACCTGGACTTTTATGTAACTTCATATTTACGTTTCCTCTGCTCGCACATATTAGGTTTGTTATTTAAACCATAGTTGAAGGCAAAAAGGAAAATCTTGACTTTGAAGATACCATGTATTGTGCCCATACTAGCACCTTTTGAAAATAAAACTATACAGGGGTGTTTCAGTTTATTGTTGCATAACTTTAAGATTCGATAGAACTTTTAAAATTAATGCATAAAGTCTATATAAACATGGGTCGAAAAATGCGTGGCTTCCGAAATACAGGGTGTTTAAATTTACTTTCTAAAATAGTTTTTTAAATATTTCCAATAATATTTGATGTATAACAGTGAAAATTGGTATTCAAGGGTTTTTTGGTACGACAAAACAAACCATGGGCATAGTTTTACTGTACCTGTAGTGTATTAAAATGACCGAAAAATTTTTCGTAGTGCAATTTTTTGCTTTTTGAATAGAAAAACTGATTCTCCGCACCTTTCAACATATAAAAGCCCTCTTGTGAGTTTTCGTTATAGTTAGCCGTTTTTGAGATATATCGATTTTTAAGGTTCGATGCATTTTTAATTATTTTTGATAAAATAACGTTAAAAGGTCAGTATCTCGATAATGTTTAGAAGTAGGCTGTGCCTGCAAATATTTTTGAAATTGAAAGCAGAATAAGGTTAAACGTCAATTAGTTGACAGTTAGCTTTGTTGTCTGTTGAAACCTGAAACGTTTTTTTGCAATTGTGAATGCACGAAATTTAGTTTCTTTTACCTGTTTTTGTTTTGTAAGTTTTATAAAAATGTCATTTTTATTCTCCAATCAAGAGTTAGCGGATAATCATTTTGTGTATGGCTTTGTAAATGGAAACGCAGCAGAAGCAGCCAGAGAATACGAACGAAGATTTCCAAACAGACGACATCCAACTCGCTCAGTATTTGGAAGAGTGCATCGCCAAATAATTGAAAATGGTTTTGGAAATCTCCAAAGGGATCAAAACATAACTGCTCGTCAGCGCAGATTTACCCGTGTGATTCTGCGTGAGTTTGATAGAGATCCGACCACAAGTGTTAGGAGAGTTCCTGGTGCTTTTGGAATTTCAGCAAGCCATGTTCACCGTGTTCTTTGAAATGACCATAGACGTCCTTACCATTTGCAATCTGTGCAAGGACTACAGCCAGGGGACGGAGAACGAAGAATCACATTTTGTCAGTGGATTCTTGATAGAACTGATAATAATAGGGAGTTTTTAACTAACGTTTTATGGACCGATGAGTCATGCTTCACTAGGCGTGGAGTGGTAAATTTTCATAATCAACGTATTTGGTCGCATGAAAATCCGCATGCAGTTTGGGAAAGAAATTTTCAGCATGAATTTAGTGTGAACGTGTGGATTGGTATCTACCGTAATCGACTATTTGGACCTTACCTTTTGCCTGCAAGGTTAAATGCTGCGACCTTCTTGGAATTTTTAAAGGCTGAACATGCAAATATGTGGGATGATGTTATGTTAGATTTAAGAGATTGGCCTGGTTCCAGCTTAATGGTTGTCCAGCTCATTATTCGAGAATAGTTAGAAACTGGCTGCACAAAAATTATCCAGAAAGATGGATCGGCCGTGGAGGACCAGTCAACTGGCCTCCACGATCCCCTGACCTAAATCCATTAGATTTCTTTGTGTGGGGATTTCTAACAGAAAAAGTGTACCAGACTCCCGTAACCACAAGAGATATGCTAATAGACAGAATCAGGAATGCATGTGATGAAATAAGGCCTTATTTGAATAATGCTATAACACGTTCGATCATTCGTAGATGTGAATTGTGTATTGAACAATTGGGTTTACATTTCGAGCAACTACTCTGAATTTTGTATGTTTGTCCTAACTATCCAATATCATTTTAGTTGTAAATAATTAATTTAATTTGTTAAAAATAATATTGGAAAATTAAACAAATAAATATTCTGTTTTTTGTATTTATTTGGAGTTAGGAATTATTGATGTGTTTAAAAACACAATCTAAACGATCATCTTAACTAATTGTAATGCCCAAATCGAAAATGTAAAAAAAAATATTATTTTCCTATAAATAATTAAAAATGCATCGAACCTTAAAAATCGAAATATCTCAAAAACGGCTAACTATAACGAAAACTTACAAGAGAGCTTTTTTATGCTGAAAAGTGCGAAGAATCAGGTATTTTATTTAAAAAGCAAGAAATTGTACCAAGAAAAATTTTTCGGTCATTTGAATACACTACAGGTACAGTAGAGAGCGCCCTCTAGCGGCTACAGTAAAACTATGCCCATGGTTCGTTTTGTCGTACCAAAAAACCCTTGTATGCCAATTTTCACTATTATATATCAAATATTATTCGAAATATTTGAAAAAAACTATTTTAAAAAGTAAATTTAAACACCCTGTATTTCGGAAGCCACGCATTTTTCGACCCATGTTTATATAGACTTTATGCATTAATTTTAAAAGTTCTATCGAATCTTAAAGTTATTCAACAATAAACTGAAACACCCTGTATATGGCCTATTGTGCATGGTACATGAGGATGCATTTTTGAAATATTCACAACTATATCGAGCCCCACATGCAAGTTTGTATATGACGACTAGTTCCTGGGCTATTAAGAACTGTTTGAAAAAAAAGTTCCTCAGCCCATACCTCAGCCGTTCTTATGGCGGAAGCGTTGACTTATTCGTTGATACTTCTTACCTATATTGAAGGTAATTACGATGGCAATAAAGATGAAAGGTGCAGTTTTTCCTAAGGTTTGATATGCTGCTCCACCCATAGGGTAGCCAATAAGAACCCCAAGTCCGATTCCACCGAACGCTAGTGGCATCAGTTTGGCCCTTGAGTTATCTGGAAGGTTCTTCGCTAAGATGCACATGCCGCTTACCGCAACTGCTGCCGAAGCGCTACCATGAAGCGCCCTGGCTAGGACTAGGAAACTATAGGAATTACCGTACGCAAAAACTGGAAAAGAAATCAGATTAAGGCACATGAACAAAGATTTTCGACATTTTCTAACTAAGAAGCTCAGGAAAACATTTTATTAGACCTTGACGCTTAGCCATTTCAAGTACTGTAGCTTTATTTGTTGGCCGTGTTTGACTAGTGCTGATATAACCAAAAATACAACGGGTTCAAAATAGCTGTTGTAGGCTGATATATGGAGTCAGGAAGTATGACCATATATCACACAAAATAAAAGAGCGAATGGCGTCACATGAAAAGTAGGAGACTCCTTCACCTGTGTAACTTTACACATTAATTGGTCAACAACTCAAATCCTCCAGGTCTGATCAAACATTTCATAACTCGCAAAGATGCTCATCATCTGAATGTCAGATCAAAAGCTCCTCAGAACAAGTCCGCCATACTCCAAAGATCGTTTGTATACAGGGTGTCCGCAAAGTTGGGGTTTTCCTTTACACGACGTGTAGATCTTGAAAACATAAGCAATTTTTCTTAGTACCATATACACCAATGTCTTAAGGGAACCGAGATAAAGGGCTCTGCAACATCAAAAATATCTGAATACCGTCCTGTAGCCGCGACCCGCGACATCACCGAGTGGTACAAGGTCACTGGCTCAACCCGACGACAGAACTGGGTCGGGGTCAGTGTGTCAGGTCAGTATGCAACCTTCAACCGACGATTACGGTCACGCGTAATGGGGTGAATAACTTTCGCAACACTCATGTTTGGTCAGTAGAAAATCCGCACGCTGTCCGTCGGGCACATTTTCAGCAAACATTTTCGGTGAATGTTTGGGCTGGCATGGTGAACGGTATGCTCATTGGACCATTTATTCTCCTAAATCGATTGGACGGGATGCAATACCTAGACTTTTTACGCAACATTTTGCCTTCCTTGTTAGAAGATGTGCCATTAAGTGTAAGACAATCAATGTGGTTTCTGCACGATGGTGCACCGCCCCATTTTAGACGCGAAGTGCGTGAGTTTTTGAATGAATTATTTCCGAATAGGTGGATCGGACGTACTGGACCCGTAGCGTGGCATCCGCCATCTCCAGACTTAAGACCATGTGATTTTTTTTCTTTGGGGAGAAATGAAACGCTTAGTGTACAAAACTGAAGTGCATACGGTTGACGAACTTCGTCTCAGAATTGAACAAACTGGTGCTTTCATTCGGGGGAGGTACTCCATTCTCAAAGCCTGCACCGATGCTTGGCTGCGCCGTGCACGCACCTGTGTTTTTGAATCAAATGGCGATAACTTCGAACAATACCTATAAAGTACGTTTACCTAAAACTGAAAACGCGGCAACGCCGTCTTATTTGTTACCTCTGTTCGTGGTCTGCACCACCGCCTGCGTCTGCTCGGTAGCGCATAAGCTGATTTCATTTTCTGTTGGAGCGGTATGATTTCGGGCAGAGACGTACTTAGCCCTTCTCGTCAACTGGAGAGTGAGTACTTTTTCCTTTATTTTTTTTATTTGGTCGCCCTCGTTTCACTACACATTACCTTTGTTATTTCAAGGGTATTTGTTTCTGAAAAGGACAACCCCAACTTTGTGGACACCCTGTATAATGTGATTGGAGTGTATAATCAGCTTCCACAAGAACTTATGCTTAAAAGCATGAACATTTTTAAAATCAAACGTTATTTGTAGGATCAATGATAGTACTTTTTAAATTTGATGTTTTGTTATTTCTTTATTATTGTTTATAGATAGTTACAGTTAGATATCAAAGGTGGTTAGGTCTCTTTGCAATATAAAATTTACTGCTCCTACTGTAGTAAAAAGCTAAAAGTATAATCATTACATGTATGTTCCTTTGCGAGTGCTTTTTGGAAACTTCATTTGCCATACATTTTCGGTCTAGTTCATCAATTCTTTAGTTTAGATGTAGCTTTAATTGTATACTTATTTGGCCGCTGTCCTCTAGTAGTTAAGTAGAATAGCTATTAGCCAGACTGGTATTGTATTGTATTTTTGATAACGTCCTTTCATTATCTATGAAAATCGAAGACCGTTTATTATTATTATACCTATTTGTTTGTTTCAAGTCTGGGTCTATTTTCCAAACAAGTTTGCTATTCTCTCAAAATGAGAACACAAGCCACATATGACTCGAAAAAGAGGTGAAAATATTTGCTTAATAAGGTTAATAAATTTGAGTATTATAGTATATTTTATATTAAGGATACTGTTTCCTTAAATGAAAATTATTTCGTTCGTTTCGCTTACGATTTCACAATAAGATGATAATTCCTTGGGTGTATCACATAGAACACAAAAAATAATGTCACAATTCCAATGAAAAAATGTATTACCCTACGGAGATACAGACCCCTAATAAATGCTACGGGAAATACTGAGGGACCCCCGTAAAATTGAATGTGACTCCTGTCCAATACATCTTTCAGTCCGAGCATAGTACCGAGCTACAGGCAATCAGGCTGGGGGAACGTATAACTAAAGTATTCACCATCAACATGAGTACTGACATCTTCTGTTCAAAATTAATCATTCGAAAACGCAGGCCATTCATTGCACCAAAAAACATCGCACCTCCTCTGCTGAGATTTCGGTAGATGCAAATATTATACCATGGAAAAATTCTGCCAGGCATCTTGGGGTCGCCCTAGATAAAGGCATGACCTGGCAAAAAACCAGCGTTAAAAACAAAACTCCAAATTGCCTTTCGGCGACTATGTCCTTTGTGATGTAGATCCTCCAAATTGAGATGATAAACAAGGTTCCACTATATAAAATGATTATTAGTTCAGCAATTAATTATGCATTTGCGGCTTGGTGTTTTCTTGCCAAAACACATATGCAAGTTCTTCAAGTACTGCAAAAAAATTATATTGTGAACTTACATATTGAAGCAAGCAGCATATTACAGGAACCAATGAGGAGAGGCACGTTGCAGCCCAGCCTTCCTATGAGGTACCCTATCAGAGGGGTGAAGGCTAACTGCACGAAAGCCTTCGACGCTAGAAGTGCTCCAAGGGGCCCATTGTCTCTCTCCAGTGTTTCGTATTTTCGTTGCAGGGGACTTAGGGATGCTGGTCCGATGTGCGATGGATCTAGGCTGGGAGACGACGTTATGTTCACGTCATTGGAGAATAGATAGTCTGGTATTATGGGAACTGGAAGAAGAAAAACTGAAAGAAAAATCTGTGTGGCGCTATGCGTATTGGGTTGGTGAGCAGTGGAATTCTCCAATTTAAGACACAGGTAGAAAAGTACATAGGACAAAATAAAAATAACTAGCACAAATTTCCATGAAGAGCAATGGGATCAAAACGACGTAGGATTGTTCAGATGCATTAACGCACTATGTAGGCTTTTCATGCAAAAAATACTCAGATTACATCAATGAGCGTGTTGGTATACGGTAATATTATTTCTTAGAAACTCTGGTGTAAAACTGCTTGTCAACAATGCCTGATAACTGTTAAAAATAGCACTTAATACGAGCTTATATACTAAACTACTACTACTCGCATATATATATATATATATATATATATATATATATATATATACAGGGTGACTTCGAAGTTGAGTCATTTATTTTAACAGTGAGTAGATCTGATCAAAAGAAATGTTTTTTTCCTTTAACATTTTTCTGGTAAAATTAAAGTAACAAAGTTATAGCCCTTTAGAAGTTTGAGTACCGCCCTGTCTCAATAATAATATTATGTGTTTGGCAACAACGGATATCGGTTCATCGCATCGGAAACAAAAGAGCGAAAGAATTTGAAACGTTTATCACGTTGTTTTTCGTCAGTCGGTAACGCGTGGGTGAATAGTGATGTTTGTTGCGTGACTCAAACGAAATGAAAAATGGCACATGTTTACGAAAATGCTGAACTTGTGGACAAGATTCTTATTTACGGGGGGCAGTCTTTACAAAATGCTGCCGGATGCATCACGGATTTATGCGAATCGGTTTAACAATCGAGTGCAACCAACCCCTCGTGTCTTTGTTAATGTAGTACAAAGGGCTCGTGAATCAGGTGACTTAAGACCTCACAGGTGAGAGCATGCCGGTGCTCCAAGACCACACGATCAAATACAGGTCCGCACTGAAATACTTGTCGGGAGGATACTTTATTAAACAAGGTAAACATTTTTTTTTATTTTTTTTTTAATTTTTACACACATATTTTGGTTTATCTTCCTTCTACAATCATTATCTGAAAATTAATGACTCAACTTCAAAGTCACCCTGTATATATATATATATATATGTATATATATATACACATATATTATATATACACGAAATCCAGTAACCCCATTCAATTACACACCAGGCATTACACCCATATAAATATATTCTACTACTTGACCCGTGAAATGTCTTTTCATAAAATAAACAATTAAAACAAAGTCATCGAAATGACCTGAAAGTGACGATCATTTTTGGCAAAAAATCATCATGAGCGATGACTCTCATTTCATGTTAACCGGAGCCGTAAACAAACAAAATTGTCGGTTCTATGGTACTGAAAATCCTCAAATTATTCACGAGGTACCTCTTTGTGACCAAAAAGTGGTGTTGTATTTGTGCTGGTATGGTGATTGGGCCGTCCTTTTTCGGAGATGAAACTGGCAAAGCGGTTACCGTCAATCAGGAGCGTTAACGCGATATGGTAAACGATTTTTTGATGCCAATTGACCGCGACAATGGTATGGAGCATTTATGGTTTCAACCAGATAGCGCTTCACCACACACAGCTCGAGCTACTATCGATGGTTTGAAACGATTGGTTGCTATAAAGTAGAATCATGTAACACAACAGTTGTATAGTTGACAAAAACTGAATCTTGCACTGACGCAAATGTCCTATAGTGGCTACAAGAGGCACACTTTTGTTTTATAACTGTTACCTGCAGCCCTTATTTAACCTCTTAAATGACTGAAGTGTCCTATTAGGTGTGCCCATTCCGCTTGTATAGCTATTCTAAGAGGGTTTTGCCAATGTTCTTACAGTATACAATGCTGTTTAAGGAATACTGTATAATCATTCTTGCAACTCTAATAGGAGTGATAATTTTTAGTTGGGATATTATATTGTCAGTATCAAAATTATTGTTTAACTTCGAGTCATTCGCAGAAAACTGAATATTGCAGTGTTTAACAAGCTTATCAAAATCGGAGATTTATAAAATAAAAAGAAGTGGCCCAAAGACCGACCCTTGAGGCACTCCTGATGAAATTAAATTCTCAGGAGAAGTGTACGTATCCATGACAAATCTTTGTGATCTATTTCTTAAAAAGCTGTTTATCAGAGCAACTGATGATTCAGAGAAACCATAAAATTTACATTTGGCTATTAAAAGTGTATGGTTGATGGTGTCAATATTATAATGAAATAATATTGCGTCCACCTCGTATGCCATGCACGATTTTTCCTATTTTTGCCCCCCACTCCGCGGCCACTGGACTTTTTTTCAAAAACTACAAAGATCTTTTGTTGTGTGAACATTTCATCAAAATCCGAGCACTTTCCAAGTTATAGACGGGCCGAGGATTAGCGGAGAGATAGACAGACAAACCGACAGAGCGAGAGAGAGAGAAACCGATGGAAAGTGAAATGGTTTTTCGTACATTTTCCGATTACAATACCTCGCTAGAGGCATATGAAGAAAAATACGTCCAAGATGAAGAAGGAAAGCACAATATTGATCTTTGAATATTTGGAAACGCTTCATTCAGAATCAGATGCGTTGCGAAATGTTTGGGAAATTTAATTACTTACGACTCGCTTTCCTCAAAAACGATTGATTTTCGGACATAAGTTATAATAAATCTTTTTGCTTAGAATAATGCAAGGAATCGCCTCTTGAAGTTACGAATATTATTTCTTTAACACCCTGTATATGCTACCTAGAAATCATGTTTTAGCGTTCAGCGAGACTTCCAAAATTCATAGAATTTTCTTCAGCTCTTGAAGCTAAACAAAAAAAGAGAAACTCGTAATGGATCAATATTAGACAAGTTCCTCTGGAAAAGAGTGCGATGTATAAACTGCCTGAAATGAATAACTTATAGATGATACTTTAAAAGTGTGATACGGTTTTTATTGTTTTTAGTTTCTGATAGCAATTGCTCTTTTTTTGAAAGCAACTCACCCTGAGCTATGAAATTATAGAGCGATTATTAAAAACTACAAGTGAAATGAATGAGTTTATATTTGACTGCATTAAAATGAAGAAAGTACTTTAGCTTTCCACTTACCTACAACTGTTAATAACACATTATCCAACAAGAAAGACAAATAAACTATCACAAAAGTCGCCGCATTTTCACTGTTCAGTTCAACAAACCACCGCATCCTACTATGAACACGGTGCCAGGTTAGAGCAAAGTGAATTGGTAAGAGGGTATCTGATGTCTGGGAGGATATATATTGAAGGGTGGAGGGTAGCATGTGTTCTCATCTGTTTCCTATTATCTCCAGCTCCTGTGTGGAAGGCCTCGGTGGCTTCGTCGAAATGAGAAATTTGCAGCTTCACTGGACCACTTTACACTTTATTTCGTTATCGTTCCCGTCCAGGTTTTGATTTAATTCGGTTGGTACGTGAACAGGAAAATCGCCAGTAAAAATTGCACACTATTATTCTTAAATATACTGGCACGCAAAATTAACCGGACAAACAAAATTTTGTTCAAATTAAATTTGAAATAACTTTTTAACCTTAGCATCAATTTCGTTAATTTTTTCGCGAAGTTGTTGGTAATTTTATTGTTATCATTACCGACTGTCGATTTTAAATATTTGTTCTTTTACAGGATGCAACTAGTGCCTAATAGTATAAATAGTTAAATAGAAGAATAAAAAATGTATGCAGCATAAAAGTGTAACAAGTGAAATAATCATTTCAAATAAAATAGATAAGACGGATGTCTTTTAAGTTTTGCATATAGAAACATAGTAGGCCGCGCGGATCGAACGTCAGTAATGAATCTTAACCTCACTCTTTAGTAAACTTACATTCAAAGTTTCACAACAATACTGAGTGTTCTCACTACAGTGAATTTTTAAGTGTCACCAAGTCATTAAAAAAATGGAACTCAACCGAGAACATTTGCGCGCCATAATTTATTACAACTTGCAGAGACAATTATCGCAACAAGAATGCCTTGCTGAGTTACTGTCTGTTTTCGGCAACGAAGCTCCACATCAGTCGACAATTTCCCGTTGGTCTGGAGAATTCAAACGGGGACGGGTGAGTCTTAGCGACGATCCCAGGGCGGGTGCACCAAAAACGGCAGTCACCCAGGAAAACGTCGATGCTGTGCGCAAACTCATCAATGAAGAACGACATGTGACATATCGCGAGATTGGGGCGTCTTTGAAGATCTCAAAGACCTCAATTCAAACAATTTTACATGAAGAATTAGGAGTAAGAAAATTAGTTTCTCGTTGGATACCCCACCTGTTGACTGAAGAGCAGAAAGCAGTCAGGGTTAATTGGTGTCAAAAAACGCTTGACGCGGAAACTAAAAAAATGTGTACAGCATTGTTAGTGGTGATGAATCGTAGATTTACTGTTATGAACCAGAAAATGAACGACAGTCGGCTGTTTGGGTGTCCCAAGGTGAAGAAAAGCCAACAAAAGTCATCCGTTCTCGAAGTGTTTCGAAAACGATGGTCGCGACATTTGTGTCAAAAGCAGGTCATATTGCGAAAATTCCTCTTAGTGAGCAAAGAAATGTTACTCCGGATTGGTATACCACCACTTGTTTGCCAAAAGTCATCACCGAGCATCGAAAAATCAACCCCGAAAGAAGAATCATCCTCCACCAAGACAATGCAAGCTCGCACCTAGCCCAAGAAACAAGGCAGTATTTAACGGAAAAAAACGTGGAATTGTTGGACCATCCTCCATATAGTCCCGATCTAAGTCCTTAAGATTTCTTTACTATCCCGAAAATTAAAAACAGACTGCGTGGTCAAAGGTTCCAGTCACCAGAAGAAGCAGTTGACGCATTCAAAAATGCCGTTTCGGATCTGCCAGCAAACGAGTGGAATAAGTGATTCGAAAATTGGTTCGAGCGCATGCAGGTGTGTATTAATCTTCGTGGAGAATATTTCGAAAAACAATAAAGTCATTTAAAACAACCTACCGTGTTGATTTATTTACATTGCAAAACTTAAAAGACATCCCTTGTAAATGTATAATGAATTACGTAACTCTCGCAGAGATTAAAAACACTTAGGATAAAACTTATGTTAAAAGTTATTTTTTGAAGACTTTTAAGTCATTGATGGTTTTTAACTCGAAGGGCAAATTATTGAAGATAGATTAACATATGTAGATAGTCAGGGCTATTAAGGTACGTGCTAAAGCTATAGTTTAATGTAATGTTGTTGTTATCCTTTAGATTGTACCTCTTTGACTCTTTTAGGTAAGTGAATTTGGAAGGATAGTTTTTTACTTGAATAAGTAATGATGTCAACGTTAGTATTTTTCTAAACGTTTTCCGACAAGACTTCAGAGGATGCAATGAGAATAAGAGTCTGACTATTCTCTTTTAAAGGATAAAGATTCATTGCGCCTCAGAAGATGATCTCCAATATAGCACTAAATATTTGAGGTGGGAATACATAGTAGAGTACAAGACGTTCAATAAGTGTTTTTGTTCAATACGTGTTTTAAGTTCCTTAGAGCAAAAAATGCCGAATTTATTTTTTTGGCTACATACCCAAATGTTCCATTATTAGACCTAAAAATTTTATATTTGGTACACTTTCCAGTGACTTACTGTGTAACTGTGATGTTGTTCTGCGGCCTTCGTTTGTGATACGTTCAGCACTAGCTGAACCGACAGGCAAAGTCAAAAACAATCTGAATAAACAGCAGCTCTCTGGAAAACTGTCTAAAAATTCTTTGCAATCATGAACTTCAAATAATCTAGCGGGCTGTCATTAGTAAAATTATGATATTCGAAAAATACATGCTTATAAAACTGGCGAATTCGTACTTTAGATTTGTAGTGGAAAATTCCTAATATTTTTCCATCAAATTAGTGGCGCTGGTTTCTAATTCGTTTTCTCTTAGATTGACTAATTTCTCTGACATCAAAAAACCAAACAAATACAGGGTTTGTCCGGAAAGTAATAGGACTCATTGTCTTCCGCCATGACTGTACTTCGGAGCATGCGCGCACCGACTAGATTCGGTGGAGGGCGTTCCTAGCTAACGAATGAGCGGCTGGTCAGGTGTCTCCGAGCACTTGGAGAGTCAAGACAGGCATTTTCGCGCGACGTGTTTCTGTGAGTGGTGCAAGCCGAAAATGCAGCGTTCGTTAGAGCAGAGGTACGCGATTAAATTCTGTGTGAAACTCGGTAAATCTGCGACAGAGACGTTTGATATGATCAAGCAGGCTTACTCAGGTGTTGCTTCAGCAAGAAGTGGTGTGTTTCGGTGGAACCAGGCCTTTTTGGAGAGCCGGGAAGAGGTCGCTGATGAAGACCGTGCTAGAAGGCGTTCGACTTCGACAAACACCGATAATGTGACTCGTGTGCGCAAAGTTTTGAACTCAGACCGTCGACTAAGTATTCGTTTAATTGCCCAGATGTTAAATTTATCAAAATCTGTAGTTCACGACAGTGTGATACAGCATTTGAATATGCGCAAGGTGTGCACGAAGATGGTCCCAAAAGTGCTCACTGACGACCAGAAATTGCGGTGAGTGGAAGTGTGCCAAGAAAAGTTGAACATGTGTGAAAGTGACCCCAAATTTTTGAATAACGTAATCACAGGTGACGAGTCGTGGATCTTTGAGTATGATCCCGAGACAAAGAGGTAATCTTCCGAGTGGCACACGACGGCGTCTCCTCGGCCAATAAAGGGAAGAATGAGCAATTTCAAAGTGAAAACGATGCTCATTGTCTTTTTTGACATCAAAGTCATCGTCCACCATGAATTTGTTTCTCCTGGACAAACCGTCAACGCTAAGTTTTACGTGAAAGTGCTCAGGAGACTTAAACGAGGGGTCAGTCGGGTCCGAGACATCGCAGCCGACTGGAACGCCCCGGATCACACCGCCTTTCTTGTGAACAGCTACCTGACCAAGGCCGGCATCCCAACGCTTCCGTAGCCGCCCTACAGCCCAGATGTGGCCCCCGGACTTTTTTTTTGTTTCCTCGCCTGAAAAGGCCGGTGAAAGGCAAGCATTTTGAAACGACAGAGGGGATCCAAGCAGCACGCACCGCGGCTCTCAAGGCTATTCCGGAGAATGCCTTCCGTGACGCCTTCAATGCTTGGAAATCGCGCTGGCTGCATCGACGCAGAAGGAGCCTATTTTGAAAGTTTTTAAAGAATTGTAACAATTGGCTCAATAAATTTTTTTAAATCGAGTCAATCCTATTACTTTCCTGTATCTGCATTGATTAATAAGCTATTTGATACTGCCCACTTTCGGAAACTTTATGAGTTTCTAGATCCTCTAGCGATTTTGCTTGTAGGTTAATAGTTATGTCATCAGTAAAGGTAACCAAGAGACAATTATTATCAATTGCGTGTTCACCTAAATCTTTCACAAATAACAAAAACAGAAGTGGTGATAGCACTCCACCCTGAGGTACTTCAAAGGTTATGTCCTGTGCATTAGAGATAGTGCTACCCAGCTTAACCTGACTTTTTCTGTTGACACGTAAATTACAGAATGATCTTCTGGGATTTCTGAAACCATAGCCATTAATTTTAGTTACGATGATGATATGATAGCGGCAGTTGCTGGGAAAAAAGTAGGCTATTTCTTTAAAGTGTACTTTTCTCCCTATGACCTCCTCAATCTGCACCAGGCCCATATAAGATCTAGCCTCGAATACTGCTCACATGTTTGGGGTGCTGCCGCCCTGACTATATTATCTATACTCGATGCTGTTTAGAGGAGGGCGGTCTAACTGATCCATGACTCTTCTCTAATACATAGTCTCGGGACCCTCCTATGTCCCTAGGGTACCGGGAGTGTGAAATAATGTAGATGAAGAGACTTTTTTTCTACTAACCTCGGGAAGTCTGAAAATCGGATTGACAAAGTTTTCTTGAGCTTCTCATAGCAGCCGGGGTGCCCTGACATTTAGGCTTCTGCTAGCGCGGCTGCTTTGGTGTAAGGAAATAAATGTTTCGTGTATTGAGTTTCAAATTTCCACTTGGGCCGCCAATTTCATGCAAAAAATTAATATGCATATACCAGATATCGGTTGGAGCTATGAATATCTTAGTTTGCATTTGATAGCCCTTTCACCACTGCTATGACCGTTAGAGGCTGGCGGTTCTGGCGGTATAGTAGATGTGGTCTACTAGCCATCGGTGCCATGTCAGAATCCTGTATTAGGCGATTTGTTTCTGAATTTTTGTAACAGTAAGTATCTGTAGTTGAGATTAAAGGATCATCTCAGAACGAGAGTAACTGAGAATTGCATTTTCTAGATTTAGTTAGAGGCCTTTCTTACGAATTGATATGATGCTGGAGTTTTCTTGTCCTTAGTTTCTGTGATGGGTTGAGATAAACAAAAAACCTATGTTGCTTGTCAATTATATATTGGCATATGTTGGAGAAATACATGTAACTTATTTGTATGTTCTTATTTATTAAGATACAAACAGCGAATGTGGCTTAACTCACATATTTGTTAAACGCAAATTATTAACACTAAAAGTGGACGGATCTATCCAAGGCTTCTCTGATATTGCTATCAAAGTACGTACATGTATAATTTATAACCGAAGTTAAAATACATTATTTTTGATTATTGCTCATCTAAAGCAAAATTCTTAAATCATAAATGATTTATATAGCTAATAAAACAGGATTGAAAGACATAATGCTGAAAATCATATTCAACGTCTTAGTCTACGTGTATGTACAGTATACGTTCATCATTCATCCACAATATTTATTTATTAATATCGTCTATGATTATAGCACGTGAATGCTTCACATTTTACGATGATTATTGCTAAAAATATTGATGACATTGACATATCCAATATTCTTTATTGAAAGTTAAATTATTTTAAGGATATCAGCCTAAACACAAAAATCGACGATAGGCTGGTTTTTGTGTTTCAACTCTGAATACCAAAGAAGTTGCGTATTTTCATTTTTCCTCTTGCAGCGTTTTTCCTGATATACTAATGAATATCCGTACGCCTCAAAAACTTGGCAACGACGCATTTTTCGAAATAATATGTTTTCGAAGGTTCCGGGAAATCAAAATAGGAATCTATCGGAAACCTCTACTGTGACCTAGATAATGAAATCAGACAACATTTAGACATCATTCAATCCCGTAAATTGAAATTGCAACTACTGATAGCAAATCCATAATCCGCTCAAAATTCTGTATACACATCCATATTCATCTTTGAGGCCATGCAGTAATATTGGCACGTCAAACTTAAACGTCGGAAAGTACATGAACATTCATCGGGGTTATTACATAAAAAGGGTACATAATGCCAAAAAAAAATCAGTAAAATCTCAACTTCTGCTATAGGTAACAGCAAGTCTGCCGCTATTTCATTCTACGTCTACGACAAGTAAGTATGAATAATAAAAATATTTATTACCCTCATTAAACAGTATACAAAAGTTTACAAACAAAAAGCCTAAAGAGAATAAAGGGCTACATCAGCTTGTCCCTTAAAGAAGCAGCTGCTAGAGCAAAAAAAAAACAAACAAATTTAAATAATTCTATAATAATGCAAATGACTATTAAGACATTGATAATCAATGAAGTTTTGATATTAAGAAATTTAGAGTCAGAAAGAGAAAGCGTGAATAGAGGAGAGAGAAGAAGAGAAACGGGGGAGCAGGAGATATGTTTTCTATAATATCTGAGACAGTAAATCACTTTTAAGGTTCCTTTTAAATGTAGCTACCGAGAGACAAAAATTCTTTAATTTTGAATTTATTTACCAAAAAGGCAATTTGATACGAGAATGATTTCTTAAATGATTCTTTAATGTGTGACGGTATTGTAATCAAATTCAATCTTCTAATGTTTAGATTATGTACGTCAGTCCGGTAACTAATTTTTAAGGAAGATAAGGGGGGCTTTTATATTTTATAATCTTGTAAAAAAAGGAAGTAGAGGGCAAGGTACGCCTCTGAGCCATATTCAACCATTCAGTTCAGGTAGTCTGTGGGATACTCTTTGTCTACCCCTTATGCCAAATATCAGTCTCAGACAAGAATTATGAGCTTTTTGAACCCGCTTTAGTTCCACGCTATCAAGAAATGGGCCATATTCCATATCAGCAAAGTTGAAGTGGGATAAGCCTTCGCAGAGCGTGGCTTTAGTATTTTGTGATAGGTAATGTATATGAGGGTAAATTATTTTTAACATTGAATATGCTTTTCTTAGGTACAGAGTAATGTGTTTTCTAAACCTTAGTTTAGAGTCAACCACTAAGCCCAAATCCTTCACGGAATCCCTAAATGATATTATAACGTCACCTTCTAATTTACGTAATGCGGGAGTCGGAAAATTGAATACAGCGTATTTGTTTTAAAAGAGAGGTCTAACAAGAGCTTCAGGAAATTAAAAGGAGGATTGATAGGTGTCCTCAGGTGTAATCTAGACCTTAGACGTCCTGTAAAATTCAAGCTTGTAAATTGAAATAGCGATCTTTGATGGCCCTTTCACCTACTAACTTGTCCAACTAAGATTACCTGTGTAAAGACTTCCTGCTAATTCATTTTTGATCTTCTGAAACCCCGATAGGAAAAAATGCGTAGTTGATAAATTTCCATAGCATTCGTGTACTTTTTGAACAAATTGGCATACTGATTTGACCAATTTTGACTGTCTAAGCTCACGCTTGAAGATTGATTCCTATGTCGAATCTCGTGCTGATTATAAATTTGCTGTCAAGAATGGTTGCTGCTTGAGCTCATGAAGTCCTCTGAGGTCATTATTTATATCATATTACAGATCGCCATGAGGTTCCCTTTGGTTCTCCTAAAATTTTTTAAAAATTGGATTGTTGTAAAGTTTCCGGACTGTTCGTATTTTTAAGAGATATGTGTTCCAAGGATATCATCGTACCGGACATGTTTTTAATTGGTCTTGAGGAGATCTGTACCACACACCGCTATCAATTTGTTTTATAACAACATGATTAGACACCACTTGATGTAAACTTTATTGGTCAAAACATCCTCTAAGAATTTTTGGTAGTAGTTACTCCAACGTTTTCAAACCGACAGGGTATTGTGTTTTGATCCTCTAGACTCACACAAAACACTGGTCACGCTCATCATAATATAACGCTAGCGCTATTGAAATGACAGCGTCAGCTAAAATGTCAATTGCGTCAATGATGTCTTTTGTGTATTGTTGTTGAGTGCTTGTCTGGTATTTGGTTGTTAGTAGATGCTCATATCATAATGAGCATACGTTTCCTATCAGAATCTTGTAATTTTATCAGATTGCGGTGGAGTCTCACACCTAAAGTCTAGGTCCTCATCTTCAGGTAGCGCTGGACACGAATAGAGGTCTGGCCGTGGTATAGGCTGTGTTGGAATAGTGGCTACTGTGGCTGCATTTATGGCTGCTACGTTGACACAGTCATAAATTGGCTGCAAATGGAAAAAGAAAAACAAAATTACAAATAGTTATTTATTATAAAAGGGAAAAAAGTACTAGATTTCACCTAAAATCCAGTATTTTTCCCGTGTCTAATACACAATTTTTTTCTGTGACAGGAAAAACGACGATAAATATTGAAAAATTATATTATTACAATATTTAAGTCAGAAAATTATCGATGTGAAATTTGAATTTTGAAATTAGTAGTCTATGTTAGACAATTAGACCTGAGTTGCTAAGGAAACTCTTAAAGTAATCAAATAGCTATCAATTTAATTTTGCGATTTGATTTAAAAATTATGAAAATAGTGGTTGTTTAGAAGTTTTTTAATACTATAAAATAAAAAATGTCTGATTCCGAGTTTTCTTTGACTCCACCGGAATTAGTAGAAGTAGCCAAAGTAGCGTCATAAAAATTATTGCCAGCTAAATCGCGTAAAATTTACGAAACCGCGTATTCAAGATTCATGGATTGGAAGATGGAAAAACATGCAGTTCTTTGTCGGAGCCCGTGTTATTGGCTTGGTTTTCGGAATTGGCACAACAACAAAAGCCATCAATAGTGTGGTCAAATTATTCAATGAATAAAAGTATGTTAGGATCCAATAATACTGCAGATATCTCAAAATATTTCGAACTAATTACATTTCTGAAACAAAATGGGAAAGGTTACAATGCTGCGATTTTAACGGGTACACAAATTAGTGATTTTTTAAATAATGCCTCCCATGAAGTTTATTTAATGGCCAAGGTTGTTGTTGTATTTGGGATTGCAGGATCTTGTCGAATTTGTAAAATCAGCCAGGTAACATTAGATGATATTGAAGATGCGGGAACGTTATTAATTGTAAAACTTAAGGAAACAATGAATGATGTAAACAGGAGATTTGTAGATACTGAAAAATATATTAAGTTTTACCGAATGTACATGGCCCTTCGTCCAGTAGCAGCAAAGGATCGACGCTTGTTTTATGCATATCACAATGGAAAATGTATCAATCAGGTTATGGGTAAAGACCAGCTTTATGAGGTTCTCGAAACAGTGCCTAATTTTCCTCAACTTGGAAATGCTAATTCATATACAGGTCATTCATTTCGAAGATCGTCTGCTACACTTTTAGTTGAATCTGGGGCAGACTTGATGACACTAAAGAAACATGGCGGTTGGAAGTCATCACCGGTCGCTGACGAGATGTTGATGAATCCGTAGCACATAGGGCAGAAATATACTAAGTGACATATAAATCCGAACACCCGGTTTAAATGGTTTTATTTTAATAAAATTTTGCATAAGTACTTAATGAAGCATAATAAGTAAATGATAAAAATTTCAAAATGATTGCACTGCTTTAAAGCCCTTTGACCTTTAATAATATGTGGATGCACCCTGATGTGCTACGCATTCTCCAACGCGCCTAGGCATGCTTCTGATCAGGTGGTCAATGTCCTTCTGTGATATCTCATTCCAGGCAACCACCAACTCCTCTCGAAGTGCTTCTAGAGTCTGAGGAGGACGTTGCAAATTGAGCAATCTCCTACCTATCATATCCCACACGTGCTCAATTGGGGATAAGTCGGGAGATCTTGGTGGCCATGGTAACAATGTGACATCATTATGTTGAAAGAAGTCTAATGTGACTCTTGCAACATGTGTTCGGGCATTATCTTGTTGGAAAGTTGGATCTGCCAGGGTGTCAAGATAGGGTAAAAGATGGGGTTCTAGAACTTCGTGGATATAACGCTGCGCGTTCATATTACCTCTGATGAAGATTAAAAGTGACCTGGAACCATAAGCTATAGCACCCCAAACCATAACTCCAACAGTGTGATGAACATGTCTTTCAACAAAAAACTGTGGATTCCTCCTTTCACCACGTCGCCTTCTAACCCTGGCACGACCATCGTGCATGCCTAAACAAAATCGAGACTCGTCACTATAGACAATACTGTTCCATTCCTGATCCCAGAGTGACCGTTGTCTGCACCACTCAAGGCGATTACGTCGGTGTTCTCGAGTTAAACGGAGGACCCCGTGTGGCCGGTATGAAAACAAGCCAAAACTTCTCATTCGTCGGTAAACACTTCGCATGCCAATAGGTCTTCCGTGTTCTGCAAACCATTCATTTGCAATGGACCTGGTAGTGGAGAAACGGTCCCTTAAGGCCAATAATCTTAGGCGGCGATCTTCACGGTCTGTTGTTCTACGACGGCGTCCAGTGCCCCTTGCTCTTTGCGTACGGCCTTCTCGAAGCCATGCCTGACAACACCTAACCACAGTGTCTACACTTCTTTGCACTCTAACTGCAATTGCCCGAAAAGAAAGTCCAGCTTCCCGAAGTCCCACTATACGGCCCCTATCAAACTCACTAAGTTGACGAAATCGTACAGGTCTCCGTACTCTAGGCATCGTAACCGATCGTAAAGGATGTCAAGAACCAAAATCCGCCAACGTTAATTCTTTACTGCGGCTGAAATATTCATTTTTAGAGCGTTAGTGAATTAAAAAAAAGCAGTATAAAAACCGGAATGTCCAACTGATAAGTCTGAAAATTTGTTCACTTGTTATTTACAGTAAGATAAATACATTCACCAACTTTTATTAAAATAAAACCATTTAAACTGGGTGTTCGGATTTATATGTCACTTAGGCCCGTATCGTCAGTCGTCCCTACAATTGTAGGGCGCGTTTATGGCCTCCTTGATTGTCATACTCCTTTCACTCTTTCGAAAATTTGTAGATTACACTTGTCCCGTGTCAGCGTCAGCGCTCTCCTATTGTGAAGATATGTTTTCTTTTCAAATTGTAGGGAATTTCAGGCTGATAAAACATGATATAACTCAAAAGCAAGCACAATTTGATGCAAATAGATGTTTGTGAGATAACCTCAAAATAGAGTGCTGACAGGGAGAAGTAGAAAACTATGACAATCAAGGAGGCCATAAAGGCGCCCTGCAATTGTAGGGACGACTGACGATACAGGCCATAGTATACCTAATAAAGTGTTTAAAACGTGTGGTAGTGCTGAAATAACACCGGATTTGCGACCAAGTACATCAACGGGAGTTGTGATGGCAGAAGAACATATACATAATTTCAACACAAGAAAATTCGGTTGTACCGAATAGTTTGAGGAACGTGTCATTCATGCAATGCACATTTAGTAATTGTACTTTTGATATAAGGGAAATGTAACTTTATTTTATAATAAAATATTCTAAAATTAAATATCTACCTTTGCTTATGTGCTTATACAATATCCGGGAAAAAGTACTCATTGTTTTTCCCGGGAAAAGACGTTATTTCATAAAAAGTGACATTTTGTTATCTGTCAACAGAGATAAAACGTCAAACTTTCAATCTTGTTGAGAATTACTCCCTCTCTCAGAATACCTGTATGTACCCGCCCTGCAGGGGAGGAGCGAGGTTGGTTTTGGACAACGTTCCATTGACTACAGATTTTTATAATTTGTCTTACACGGTGCTTCATCTCACTACCATAGTTAATTTTGCAAACTATTTTATCCAGAATAAAGTTCCTGTTTAAATGATGACAGTAGAATTATAAGTGATATCTGATCCTCCAAAATTATTCTTTCTATTAAACTAAAAATGTGTGCATTCAATGGAAGTATGGTTTATGTCTGCTACAAATTATTCCATGAAGACGTTGTTGACATTGCCTAGTTTTGGGTGCACCCGCTATAAAATAAAAATAAATAAATAGTTGTACCTGTGTATTGGCCCTGTAGATGTCCAGAGTACTCGTCCCGGTAGCTAATGAGGGCAAAGTGCTCGTAAGCCTATCCCTGGCTGCAGCTATTGTCATCAGATAGGTCCTTGGAATAAAAAGGGCTCCTAGGAGCACCATGGATGTACCCACAATACCAAAACACAGCACCAGTTCCTTCCAATTCTCATCCAGATATCCGTATAAGGGAACCCATATACACCATATAATGATCATCAAAATGATAGAGATGGTAAAATATTTGCCTTCTCGATAGTTCCTCTGACATTTGTACATCAAAGGAGAAAGACATAGCAGCAGCAAGAGCAGCATAGCATTGTAACTCATCAAGTACAGCAAAGAGTTACCTTGGAAAACATCTAAGCATCTTCCGACAACCTGCAGATTTAAAGCAGCTTGAACCCCAAATATAAACAGGCAAAGGAATGATTGTACCGGCCCAGCAACGTGGGACATGAACCCTATCTCTTTTGAAGCACTGGCTAACATAATACTTCTGGATAGGAGAAGAGAAAATACTAGGGCGTAAGATAGAGTTATGGACATAGACTTCGTTACGCAAAGCGTATTGCTGTTATATTTGGTTGCTGTTAGGAGAAAAGGTAGAACTGATGACAGCAAAAGCACTGTAGCTAATAGCAGAACTAACGTGAGGATAGGGTTGCCTTCCAAGATGTCTCTCCTGCATATGCAGATCAAGAGGAATGTGAAGATAGAGATACAAAACAGAATTCCGAGCAGAGAAAGTGATATGAATGCGTATACCCAGGACTCTGATTTGAAGCTCAGATATTCGTCACTTATAGTGTCTTTCAAGTCTCTGTTCAACAAGAAATTTATACATTCTTCTGGATCGGACCGAAAAGTGACATTGCCCACCAAAGCATCCAAGCTTTGATCCACCAACGTAAGGTTTTGATCGAACAAGTTATACGTGAAAACTTTGCTATAGGGTTGAAGAAAACTGTTTTTCACGACACTGTTATTTTCCACCCTATAGATATCATACACAAAATGCCCTCTCAGAGGTTCCACCTTGAGGAACTCCAAGATAGCGGTCAGTGACATCACTGCGTAAGGGCTTCTTTTGAGATCTGCCTTTTTTAAGCAATCTAGCTTAGTTAACTTGTTGGTGTCATTACAACGGTTTCTGAAGGCCATCAGGAGAGATTTGACAGCTGTCAACATTGGATTTGCTGCCTCGAAAAGCAGTGGCGTGGGGATGATGTTCTCAGGCATTTGATATGTTAGTGATGTAGGAAACTGGGGTGGTATAATCACGAAGCTGTGTTCTGGTAAGTCTGGAAGAGAGACGGAATATACATCATCATGCGATACGAGGGATGTCTTTTAAGTTTTGCGTATAGAAACATAGTAGGCTGCGCGGATCGAACGTCAGTACTGAATCTTAACCTCACTCTTTAGTAAACTTAAATTTAAAGTTTCACAACAAAACGTACAGTGTTCTCACTACAGTGAATTTTTAAGTGTCACCAAGTCATTAGAAAAAGATGGTCGCGACCTTTGTGTCAAAAGCGGGTCATATTGCAACACTCTTAATGAGCAAAGAACTGTTACTGCGGATTGGTATAGCACCATTTGTTTACCAAAGGTCATCTCCGAGCTTCAAAAAATCAACCCCGAAAGAAGAATCATCCTCCACCAAGACAATGCAAGCTCGCACACAGCCCAAAAAACAAGGCAGTATTTAACGGAAGAAAACGTGGAATTATTGGACCATCCTCCATATAGTCCCGATCTAAGTCCTACAGATTTATTTACTGTCCCGAAAACTAAAAACAGACTGCGTGGTCAAATGCCGTTTTGGATCTGCCAGCAAACGAGTCTAATAAGTGCTTCGAAAATTGGTTTGAGCGCATGCAGATGTGTATTAATCTTCATGGAGAATACTTCGAAAAACAATAAAGTCATTTAAAACTACCTACCGTGTTGTTTTATTTCCATATGCAAAACTTAAATGACATCCCTCGTATAAAAAAAGTAGAATTGTTATTCGGTTGATATTATTGCATATAAAGGTGATTAGGAAAACAGTGGTAATATCTCTAAAGCAGAATTATATGCAAAAGTAACGTTATGGCTCCCATCGTTTTTTATCGAGGTTTTTGGGGGGTCACAGTTAAGCTACCAGCATGATTTTCATATCTTTTATACATTGTATTTTAAATTCGACCCTCACCACTGGTATCTCGGAAACTGTAACAGATACAAAGTCGCTTGAATGAGGACAAAGTTGCGTATTTAGGTAATTAACAACATACCGCTTAGAAAGTTTCGAAATCTGAAGTACTTTCGGAGAGAGACGGAAAAAAACGAATTTTCCCAGAAATGTTTCCTGACTTTATGTAAGATGGGATTTTAAAATAAATTGTATGTTGTTATTGTTAATTGTTCTCCTCGACAAGATGGCATAGCCAAATTTTCACTTCGACTTCACCATCACTAACTTTGTTTTCCATATGGACGCTATATTGGAATTTTGTACATGCAATTGAACTTTCCAGTCCTAAATGTATTTCCTTGGTTGGCCATGAATGGAGTTGTCGGAAAAAAATTATAAGGAAATAAAAAGTGAGATGAATATCTTAGCAGATGTTCAAAATATTGTCTGTTATTTTGTAAGCAAAGTTGGCTCTTTTACTGTACATTGATAACTGCTCGATTTATTTTCGTTCTGCTCGGTCTTCCAAACTCTGTTGCTATGTTCAATTTGATGTGTGGTCTGACATACGAAAGAAATGAAATCTGATAATTCCAAGGCCTGCCTAGGAACTTCTGTTCTTTCTGGAATAACTACGGTTTCGCAATCTCAATATTATACCTTTTTGGACAGCAGAATTAAAAACTCTATTCATCTGCGAATCCAGTACGACGTCGAAAAGAAAAAATAAAGTTAATGATGGAGGATGAGGGAAGAAACGTCATATTGAAATTCTAATTATGCCTTCTTGTAGAGGAGAAAAAGTGGCAATGTTAACATGCAATTCATTTTGGAATAAATAGGGATTTAGGGATTTACCTGGTCTTCAAAACAAATGACTACCTGATAATTTCAAACCTTACATAGGATACGCTATTTTTTTGATATAAGGTTTGAAATAAAGCAGCGCGAAGCGTCATCTACCACTAGCGATTACGCGGTGACTGGACATTCAATTCGCAGACTGAGAAATATACGAGGGATGTCTTTTAAGTTTTGCATATAGAAACATAGTAGGCCACGCGGATCGAACGTCAGTACTGAATCTTAACCTCACTTGTTAGTAAACTTAAATTCAAATTTTCACAACAATACGTGCAGTGTTCTCACTACAGTGAATTTTTAAGTGTCTCCAAGTCATTAGAAAAATGGAACTCAACCGAGAACATTTTCGCGCCATAATTTGTTATAACTTTCAGAGACAATTATCGCAACAAAAATGCCTTGCTGAGTTACTGTCTGTTTTCGGCAACGAAGCGCACATCAGTCGACAATTTCCCGTTGGTATGGAGAATTCAAACGTGGACGGGTGAGGCTTAGCGACGATCCCAGGGTTGGTGCACCAAAAACCCAGGAAACCCAGGAAAACGTCGATGCTGTGCATTGAAGATAGACATGTGATATATCGCGAGATTGAGGCGTCCTTGAAGATCTCAAAGACCTCAATCCAAAAAAATGTACATGAAGAATTAGGAGTAAGAAAATTAATTTCTCGTTGGATACCCCACCTGTTGACTGACGAGCAGAAAGCAGCCAGGGTTAACTGGTGTCAAAAAACGCTTGACCGGTTCAATTCCGGAAACTCAAAAAATGTGTACAGCATTGTTAGTGGTGATGAATCGTGGATTTACTGTTGAACCAGAAAATAAACGACAGTCTGCTGTTTGGGTGTTCCAAGGTGAAGAAAATCCAACAAAAGTCTTCCGTTCTCGAAGTGTTTCGAAAAAGATGGTCGCGACATTTGTGTCAAAAGCGGATCATATTGCAACAATTCCTCTTAATGAGTAAAGAACTGTTACTGCGGATTGGTGTACCACCATTTGTTTGCCAAAAGTCATCACCGAGCTTCGAAAAATCAACCCCGAAAGAAGAATCATCCTCCACCAAGACAATGCAAGCTCGCACACAGCCCAAAAAACAAGGCAGTATTTAACAGAAGAAAACGTGGAATTGTTCCTCCATATAGTCCCGATCTAAGTACTAACGGTTTCTTTACTATCCCGAAAATTAAAAACAGTCTGCGTGGTCAAAGGTTCCAGTCATCAGAAGAACTTGACGCATTCAAAAATGCCGTTTTAGATCTGCCAGCAAACGAGTGGAATGTGCTTCAAAAATTGGTTCGAGCGCACGCAGATGTGTATTAATCTTCTCGGAGAATACTTCGAAAAACAATAAAGTCATTTAAAACTACCTACCGTGTTGTTTTATTTCCATATGCAAAACTTAGGAGACATCCCTCGTACAGACCTAGGCGGGAGGCTGTGGCTTACGGTTTGAAGTGTCTGGCTATAGTGGTAGATGGGGCTTTAAATTGACTTGTTCATCGGCATAGTCTTATTTCGTGTTGTACTGATGACATGACCACCAAAAACAACAAAAGGACTATATAAGCATAGGTCCTAAATGTTCCAATATTGAAAAACAGAGTGATGTAGATTTCTGCGCCACTAAGGGGATTGATAACACATAAAAATAACATACAATCCAGAATGTCAAGATATGTTATTTTGAAATGTTCTAGCTGTTTCAAAAAAGTCAGAGGCGTAGAATATAATTTTACTTCTTCTTCTGTAAATGTAAGAATGTTCTGGTATGTACGCTTTTCCATACATTGGGATTGTTTATGCTGTTCTCCATACTAACATAAACTCTTGGTATCCTCATCCGCTAGGGATGTAAATTTTTTTCGATTCAGTAAGTATAACTTGAATTCCTAAAGATGTGAGTTTATTGAAAACACAATGATACAGTATTTTTAAACTTACTTTCTGCTCTAGAATCATTGCCACTCTTTTATGAATCACCCTGAAGGGTTTTATTTAGCAAAAGAGAAAAAATCACCTGCTGGTACAGATGCATCCAGTGGCACAAAAATCATCTTGAGCACATCGTTTGTGTAGTTTTCCTGGCGAGTCGAAAAATGTTCTATGTTGCATTTGTTTCCAAAATATACAATTGGCGTTGTAATGTTGACCAGGTTTGGACAGGCACTCCTGAAAATGATGTTTTTTAATGGAACGTCAGAACGTTAATAGGATGTTTTCAGATTCCATTTATTAAAACTCATTGAAGGCAATATCTGAAAAGGATTGTTTACTATACAGTTTGTTCCTTAGTGGTATGTAAATATTTAAGGGTGTGAATCTACATGAAAAATTAATGTTAGTTTGATTTATAAACTATGGTCCAAAAATGTTTCCTTACAAAAACTCGGGGTGTTGAAGTTTTAGCAAAAAATGGAAATTAATTAATATTTCCTGCACCGCTTCAGATAATACACTGATATTTAGTACGTAGTGGAAGTTAATGAAGTTGCATATTTTTCAATGCAAAAATAATTGTTAGCTTCAGCAGTGGCGTGCGTACGGGTATTGACTTCGACATTTATTAAGAAAAAAATGGTACGCCAATAGTTTTTTGCCAAATAAAAATTATTTTTGAATTTCACGTTCAATTTAAAACAAACGATCTCTCTTGATTTGTTTACCGTTGATGCGCCATTTTTGAGTAAAAAAATAGAAACCGTTCTATTGTCCGAGAAAATTAATGTAATAATTGAAGAATGCAATTTAGCAATAAATATCTAGTTGCTCTGGAATATGTCACTGGCTTTTGACAGCTGACAAGTCTCTGTTATTCAAATATGTTCGCTGTGACATCTTTTTGATTATTTAGTTTTTACAATCTTGTTAATAGCGGTGAATTGTTCAAATGCAGAAACAACGGAGATGCATTAGGTATATGGCCTTGCCGACGGTAATGGTGAGCAAGTCAGACGGATTTATCACCAGAGATATCCCGATCGTGCTTTGCCAGATAGTCGAAACTTTTCTAATATTCATCGTCGTCTTGTTGAAACTGGTACTGTCCGATAAGGAACATCTGAAGGTAGACACCTCTAAGTGTGAGAACACCTGAAATTGAGGAAACAGTGCTGCACGAAGTCGAGGAAGATCGCTAGACACTTAAATATTTGCCATCAAATTGTTTGGAGAATTTTAGTGGACTTTTTGTTACATAATTACCATATTTTAACAGTACAGGCATTACTTCCTATTGATTTTCCAAGGCGTGTGACCTTTTGTCAGTGGTATCTTCAAAAAATTACACAAAATCCGCAATTTGAATCAATGATTCAGTTCACGGTCGAAACTAATTTTTCTCGAAATGCTATTCGGAATTTCCACAATAATCATTTGAGGACAGAAGAAATTCTCTATGCCGTAACCGAAACCCATTTCTAACACCAATTTTCGGTTAACGTATGAGCAGGAATTATTGGCAACCACTTTATTGGCCCATTCTTCTTGCCGCGACGACTTGACGGACAGCCTTACCTCAATTTTCTTCAACAACAGTTGCCATGGCTGCTTGATGATGTTCCGTTAGTAATAAGAAACAATATGTGGTACATGCATGATGGTGCACCAGCGCATTTCAGTGTAGCGGTTCATAATTATTTACAAACTGTTTATTCAAATTGTTGGATTGGCCGCGCTGGGCCCCAAGACTGGCCACCAAGGTCCCGAGACCTCAACAGTTTAGATTTCTTTTTGTGTGGCTATCTTAAGACACTAATGTACACAAGTCCCATTAACACTGTAGAGGAATTAAGAGAAAGAATAGTTGCAGCTTTTGATAGAATAAAAAACACTCCAGGGATATTTCAACGAGTGCGCAGTTCCATGAAAAGGAGGGCGGAACCATGCATACTAAGTGAAGGGGGCCATTTTCAACAATTTTTGTAACCATTTCGTTGGTTTTAATGTTATGTTTATGTTGTCAGTTGTTGTTGTTCATTACCCCTAATGTGTTTAATTTTACCAATTAAATTATCACTGATCAACAGCCAAAAAATATCCTAAATAAAATCAACAAAATATTACTATTTTTAGTGTGCTAAAACCGGAATGAAACTTATTTTTTCAATATTAGTTCAAGTTTTAGAGATACGGTAATTATATGTGTTCCTGCTGTGACAGTGTTAATATACTGTAATTCACAAGAATGCACGTGCTACATTTTTATATTCGGCAAGGAAAGATGATGTAATCGGCATGATTGTGTTACGTTATACATACGTGTACATTATATTGTTTTATATTAGCCATTTTTTCCTCAGTTGGCTGACAGCGTTCATGCAAGATGTCTCGAAAGTGTGTAAACAATCCAGATCAGTTTTGTTACGTGTGTGGTGATGTGACTTTTGCGTCTCAGAGACGGTCTATTACTCCACTAATAACAAAGGCATATCAGCTTTATTTCGGTTGTAAACTAGGTGATAAAACAAACAGTGGGCACCCCACTTCTGCTGTAATACATGTGCTTCAAGTCTGAGGAGCTGGTTAAATGGCAAAAAACGGTCTATGCGCTTTGCTGTCCCAATGGTTTGGAGAGAGCCTACAAATCATATTAATGATTGTTACTTTTGCATGGTACCTTGTGTTGGACAAGCCACAGGTATGTAACAAGAAAAAAAAATCGGTTATTAACTACCCAAACATACCATCTGCGATGAGACCTGTGCCTCACAGTGACGAAAATCCTATTCCAAAACCTCCAGAATCCAACACTTGCGAATCAGAAAACGAATCAGATCATGGCGATCGAGTGATTCGTCAGGAAGAAGATATGCCATCAACGTCAAGAGATCCTGATTTTATACCGAGCACGTCATGCCACCAACCGCACAAAATAACACAGTCAGAATTAAATGATCTTGTAAGAGATTTAGAACTTCCAAAATGTAAGGCAGAGTTACTTGGATCAAGACTGCAGCAGTGGAACTTGTTAGAAGACGATGTTTCGGTATGTGTTTTTCGTAAACGCCACAAAGACTTAGAACCATTTTTCAATATGGAGAATAACTTGGTTTTCTGCAGTAACATTAACGGCTTACTGGCGGCTTTAAATATAAACTATAACCCAGAAGAATGGAGATTGTTTATAGACAGTTCAACATTGAGTTTAAAGGCAGTGTTATTGCATATTGGAAATATTTTACCATCTCTTCCTGTAGGGTATGCAGTTCACATGAAAGAATCATATGACAATATGAAGTACCTATTGACATGCATAAAATACGATGAGCACCAATGGCATATTTGTTGCGATTTGAAAGTCGTGGCACTTTTACATGGGCTGCAGCTAGGCTACACAAAGTTTTGCTGTTTGTTGTGTGAATGGGACAGTCGGGCAAAGGCACTTCATTACACCAGACAAAACTGGCCTGTTCGTCAATTCTTAGAGCCAGGTCAGAAAAATGTACAGCATATGCCATTAGTAGATTCGAAAAAAAAATTATTACCACCACTGCATATCAAGTTGGGCCTAATGAAAAACTTTGTCAAGGCATTAGATAGAAATGGGTCAGCTTTTCAATACCTGCGTAAGAAATTTCCAAGACTAAGTGAGGCAAAGGTTAAAGAAGGTATTTTTGTTGGGCCACAGATTCGAAATATTTTGAAAGATACACAGTTTGAAAACACTTTAACAGGTATTGAAAAAGCTGCTTGGAATGATTTTCGTCTGGTGGTCAGTAATTTCTTGGGAAATAGAAAAGCTGACAACTATGAAACCCTTGTCAAAAATATGCTGTCATCGTATCAAAAGATGGGCTGTAATATATCTCTTAAGATACATTTCCTACACTCACACCTGGACTTTTTTCCTGACAATTGCGGAGCCGTAAGTGATGAGTACGGCGAACGTTTTCATCAGGATATTTCAACAATTGAAAAAGGTACCAGGGAAAGTGGAATCCTTCCATGCTTGCAGACTACTGTTGGACTCTTGGTAGAGATGCTCCAGAAACGATCCATAAAAGAACAGCAAAAAGACAGCGCATATAGTGATTCTTATAAGTATATGAATCTTGTTACTTTTTTTAATATACCCTTAAAAATAAAAAGTTTTTTTTCTAAACCGCAACTAATTTTTTTATTTCATTGTCATTTTTGGATTCAGCGCCCCAAAATTAACAAAGAAGTGCACTTTTCCCACAAGATACAATTAAAAAACTAAAATTTGTTGTCCTTATTAATAATTTTGCAAGTTAGACAATAGAACGGTTTTTATTTTTTTACTCAAAAATGGCGTATCAAAAGAAAACAATTCAAGAGAGATCATTTGTTTTAAATTAGACGTGGAATGCAAAAATAATTTTTATTTGGCTAAAAACTATTGGCGTACCATTTTTTTCTTAAAAAATATCGAAACCAATACGCGCACCACTGTTAAAGCTAAAAATTATTTTTGCATTGAAAAATAAGCAGCTTTATTAACTTTAACTGCGTACTAAATATCAGTGAAATATCTGAAGCGGTTCTGAAAATATTAATTACTTTCCATTTTTTTCCTAAAACTTCAACAACCCGAATTTTTGTAGGGAAACATTTTTGAACCATAGTTTATAAAGCAAACTAACATCAATTTTTCATGTAGGCTCACATCCTTAAATATTCATATATCATTAAGGAATACCCTGTAGATATAGTGATCCAGAGGTTATGCTGTGAAAAGCATTCCGCAAGTTCCAAGGTCAGTCTCAGTGGGTCGTATGCCATCTTGAAGGTACTTTTCCTGATGTATGTCTGAGTACCATAAAATTTTGCAGGGGATTCATAAATCTTTGGGCTTTCAAATAATTTCATAAGTATGTCCAAACATCGGTACATATTATGCAGTTATATATACAGGGTGGCGCATCGAAAACGAAACAGACGAATTTCTGGCAGCTCAGTTTTTTTTTTGAAAAACGCGCATACCCGTCGATTTTGTTTTCGAGGGGGACACAAGTTTAGCAAAAAATCACGTTGACACGTGAAGTCCCCTGGGCGGGGGTGTCACCAACCCTAAAATCTTAAATGGAAAGTGATACCTTATTTTAAAGGTCTTTCAATTCCCTTTATTATGATATAAAATTAATGTACTACAGTTAAGTAGATTTGAAGATTTATTGATTTAAAGCTTAAATAAAACTAATACATCGTCATTAGTGGAGGTCAATACATTTGGCAGCAAAGTCATTTAAAAATGAAGAATGAACTGACCCGTTAGGCAAGTAAATGTTGAAAATGTCCACCATGACTCTCCATGCAATAATAAAGATTTTGCCGCACATTTTGCAATATTTGGGGAGTAATATGAAGGCATTCATTCACAATTCCTTGTCGCAGGTCTTCTAATGATGTTGGCTGAGTAGCATATTTTGCTTTTTAAATGACCCCACATAAAGAAAGCCAAAGGTGATAAATCTGGCAATCTTGGGGGACATTCAATGGCACCTCTTCTACCAATCCATCGATCAGGAAACGTCTGATCTGAATATTGTCGAACACGTAATGTGTAATGTGGTGGGGCACCATCCTGTTGGAACATCAACCTATCCGCAATGTACCGCCGATCATTCTGATTTTCAATTATGGCTGTTAATGCAGGATCTATGGCGTCTTCCAGTAATTCCAAATATATTTCATCGGTCAAATTTCCTGGCAAGAAAAAAGGACCTACTACGCCATTTAAGAAAAAGGAACATTCGTCGGAAAAGCAAGTGATGAATAGAAAATGTTCAGCGTTTATAATTTGTTCACTCATATCTTCACAAAATTGTAATCGCCGATCAAAATCGTCTTCATTAAGTTCTTGTACCAGGTGAATTTTATACGGATAAAAACTACGGGCCTTCAGAATCCGTTGGACAGTACGTCGACTAACATCACACACAGTCTCCAATTTGCGGGTACTTAACGTAGGATCTACATAAACTTGCCCTAAAACCTCCACTTCTATTGCTTCGTTCCTTATGGGATTTTTAATGTTGCGTTTTTTATTGGCGACTGACCCAGTTTCCCGAAATTTGGCTACAAGTTCTAGAACATATTTTCGATGCACGTTACTGTTCTCATGTCGCTCTTTAAATTTTTCTGCTGTTCTATTAGCGCACTGATTATTTCCGAAAAATATTTCGATAATTTCAACTATTTCTGCTGTGGAATATACCATGGTTAATTTATGTAATAAAGCGTTACAAGTTATTTTAGCAACAAATTTTGGTCAAATAAATCGCAAACTATGTACTAAATTCCCATTTAAAATGTGTACGGGATATTCCCTTATATTTCTTCAAGAAATAACTTTTTTGCCACAAAAAAACGCTCCAATACCTATTTTTAACAACAAAATGATGAACAAACCATGGGCGTAGTGAAGAAAAGCATTTACTTATTAAGTAAATTCTTTTAGTCAAATTTATTCTCAAAGTAGTACAAGCTAATCTGATGTACCTATTAAAGTCTACTTTAAGCTTTAAGTCAATAAATCTTCAAAACTGCTGAATTGAAGTACATTAATTTTATATCATTATAAAGGGAATTGAAAGACCTTTAAAATAAGGTATCACTTGACCCCCTTTCCATTTAAGATTTTAGGGTTGGTGTCACCCCCGCCCAGGGGGCTGCACGTGTTAACGTGATTTTTTGCCAAACTTGTGTCCCCGCCGAAAACGAAATCGACGGGTCTTAGCGTTTTTCCAAAAAAAAAACTGAGCTGCCAGTAAATGCGTCTGTTTCGTTTCCGATGCGCCACCCCGTATATATATAGTTATCAAATTCCAAAATTCTGAAAATGGACTATACTAATTTGTGAAAGCTTTATGATGAATGAGTACTGGAAGGTGTACAAAATTATGCCGGCATTTTAGACCACAGGCAGCCGTGAGTTGTGCGGGTACGAATCCCACCCCAAGATAATATTTTTCTTACCCATATATGACGAGGTCCGTAACACACACTGACTGTCTCACTGCATAGCTAGAAAACTCTTCCATTATAAACTCGTCGGGTCCAAAGACAGTCACATTCTCCACCCATCCCATCACATTAAGGAACTCCACGGTACTCTTCACCAGAAGTTTTGAACATCGCGCTATCGAACTGCTTCTAACATCCAACACCTCGCAGAAGTTCAGCATCTTCTCGCTCAAACTAGCCTCGCTTATAACCGTCAGCAAATAGTCGTTTTCCGATTGGTACAAATCAAAGATGCTCTTGAAGTAATCAATTTCCTCGCAGATTCCGTATACTTTGAGACCGAGAGTCAGAGGCGCAGCGTATTCCAGATAATTGAGTCTATCTACTATCCACATGGCGGATGACACCAACGAGTTTGTGTGGTAAGGTATGAGGTCTACAGTGGAGTTATGGCATGTGCTTACTAGTAAGGCTATTGTGAGGTCTCCAGGTATTTCGACGGAGGTCTTTATACGTTCGGTGTTGGAGAAGGTGAGTAGCAGAAGGAGAAGACCTATAGGTAGCATCTTCATGGTGGACGAGGAAGAGTTGTATCTGGAATATAAACAATACGGATGACTGACTGAGAAATAGAATTGATCACATACAGGACTTGAGTTTTAGCTTCTTGATTTGAAATTAAGTCAAGCGCAAGTCAAGTATTAGATATTAGCAATTGGATATCAAGTCTAGTAGCATTTCCGCCTGTCTGTTAAGTACTGGGTGCGCCATCTATTACTTTTTTTTACCTATAAGTTTATGTGTTACCTACTCAAAACTCGTCTGGTATGCTTAAATGAACTGTCAAAGGTATGCCATTTATACTCATGGACTCGTTTACAACACAACTCATTTTAGTTATCCAAACTTATTACGAAAACGGTCGAAATATAAAAAATACTTTTCGCACTAGTTTTGGCCGACATGGACGCCCTACAGAGCCTGGAATTCTTTGGATTGTTAATCGTTTTGAGGAAACTGGTTCAGCTGGAGGTCGTAGACCATACCAACATGCTCGTCCAGCTCGTACTGGTGAAAACATAGCCGCAGTGAGTGAAAGTGTGCGAGAAGAGCCAAACACCTCGACTAGGCACCGTTCGCAACAATTGGGAATTAGTGAGACCACTTTACGCCGGATTTTATACATTGATTTACACCTCCATCCATACAAAATCCAACTAAAACAAGAATTTAAGCCGGCAGACCATCAACAGCGGCGTGTTTTTGTTAATTGGATGCTTGAAAGAGAAGACGGATTTTCGGACAAAGTGCTCTTTTCTGATAGGGTTCATTTTGACCTCAATGGGTACGTAAATAAGCAAAATTGTAGATTCTGGTTGGCTGAAAATCCACACATATATCAAGAACAATCTCGCTATCCTCTAAAAGTGACTGTTTGGTGCAGATTATGGGCTGGTGGCATCGTTGGACCATTCTTCTTTGAAGATGCCGAAGAAAAGGCCATTACCGTCAACGGGGAACGTTATCGCGGCATTTCGTGGCCACAATTGGATCGTATTGGTGCCGACGATCTTTGGTTTCATCATGACGGAGCAATGGCTCACACATCTCGCCAAACAATCGCCTTATTGCATACGAAATTTCAAGACCGCATAATTTCACGAAATTCAGATGTCAGTTGGCCACCGAGATCATGCAATTTAACACCTCTTGACTATTTTATTTGGGGATTTTTGAGAGGAAAAGTGTATGCGACTGGTCCCCGGACAATTCAAGACCTAAGGCGCAATATTCGGACTCAAACTGCGGCCATAGACCCGATTATTCTATGAAAAGTCATTGAAAATGTTGATGTTCCAATGTTGGCCTATAAGCGAAGCCGCGGTGGTCACATGACTGATGTTATTTTTCATACATAAATGGTATAAACAAACCTTCATTTATCAATAAAAAAATTCGATTTCACCTCGTAAAAAAGCGTGTTGATTTTACAAACAGAAAAAAAAGTAATAGATGACTCACCCTGTACTTGAAAATTTAAGTAGTTTTGATATTACTTGATAATTACTGTAAGATCGATTCGACTAGATTATAAGTACATAACGGAAGTATACTTTATCTGAAGTCACTTGAAATAGCATAAAAACCTTTGGTCGGCGCGTCCTTTGTAATTTCATGACGTATCATAGGCGTGCGGTCATTTATTTAGAACGATAATAATAATGTTTTTATATCACAATAAATGAATTTTACTATCTTCTTATTTTTTTGATTTGGAATAAAAAATACTTATATTGGGAGTTTAATTTATGTTGACTGAAAGTTAAGAAATGGAAAAATTACAGAATTCCAACGTTTGACATAGGCAAATATTTACATAGCAGGTAGGTATATAAAAAGGTATATAAAGACTTACATTATAGGTATTTATATATCATCCTCGCGTTCGGAGCTGTCGCTAGAGTCATCTTGTAGAGGAATTACAACGGGATTTACAGGAGGCAAAACACAATATTCATTTTCTTTTGCAATAATATGCCTAGAACACTGCTTCCATAGGTCTGTGGCAGCAATATGAGATACTGCATCTCTTATTGTGGCCAATAGCGATTCACTTAATTGAGGGGTCTGATTATGTTTTCTTACTTTTTTTTTAAAGCAGCCCAGACCAACTCAATCGGGTTAAAAATGCAGTAATAGGGAGATAGACGTAATACTTCATGGCCATTTTGCTGAAGCAGATTGTCAACAACATACTCTTTTTCAAATTTTTGTCTTTTAATAAGATCCAATAATATGGCTTTGGTTGATTTTTGTGGTATTTCCATTCCCTTATCCTTCATAAAATCAATAATGTCTTGTTTTTTGTGCCTGTATTCGGAATTTTGTTTTTCTGTCGGGAATGGTATGGCGCATTGTCCATAATAATCACTGAATTTGGGGAAATGTTTGGTATTAACTGCTGCTCTATCCACTTTTCAAATAAGTCGGAGGTCATGTCCTCATGATAGTCGGCACATGATTCTTTGATATTTTTGGCAGATAACAGCAAGGCATTAGGTATAAATCCATTTTCACTGCCAGCATGGAGAATAATGATTCGTTTTCCACGGTTGCATGGTGCATTTAAAATGCACTTGTTGCTGTCGTCAACCCAGCCGTACTGCACAACATCATGGGTATCATACCACGTTTCATCCAGGTACATCAGATTTCTTTTCTGCTCTCTATAGATTTTAACTTTGTGCAAAAATTCTTGGCGCAATTCAACGATTCGAGACGACTCCATAATCACCATTCTTTTATCTAATTTTTTGTATTGAAAACCACACAGTTTTACATAACAGTGCAGTGAGTCTAAGCATTTGTAACTATAAAAATCTTCAGGATAATCTTTTAATTTATCCCGTATCATTTCCAACGTGGGCACCAAATTTTCTTTATAAAATCCGTATATTATACGACGAAAATCTTCCTGAAAACCCACGTCTATTCTTTTTAATTTTTGCCCTATGCGCTTTCTGTGGAAGGAATGGTTGACTACATCTCCCCTTTTTATAACCCGATAAATGGTAGACCGACAGATTTTTGTCAGGATACAAATTCTGTTTAAAATTTGATTTTGCGAGGAATCTGGATTTTCGTTTTTCAGACAATCATACATATTTAGGATTACTCTTTAGGTCTGTTCCTCTAAATCTTTATGAAAGAATTCTGCCTGCACAGGTTCATCAACCATCTCCTCTTGGCTTGGAGCATTTTCCCAAGGTCTCCAAAGAGCCATATTTAGGACACACAAGAACAGTCAACACAACAATTAAATCAACAAGTAAACTGAGTATTCAAAAGTCAAAAACACACAAACTAATAAAATCTATGAAAAAACACGGACAGACTAAAGAAAACACGTTTATTCACCGCTACACGGCACTGGCTAAACTGTTTCAATTTTCAGTAGCCACCTGCACTTGTTCGGAGCTCTGAAATACACGCTTTCTCATTGGCTATGTCCACGCATAGGCGTGCTTTACTCCACGTGGACCGGTGAAACTGCCTTTGATCTTATACGGGGGATATTTTCTGCGAAATTTGGCGATTTTTGCAGCAACAGAGCGTGTTAAATATAGATATATAAAACGCACCCGGTATTTCACAGTGTTTCAAGTGACTTCAGATAAAGTATACGTCCTTTATCAGAGAAAACAATGCAAATTGAACAAAATAATTTGTTTATCTTACAACACGATAGAATAGTAAACTCAAGTAGAAAAAACTTCTCTTCATCAGCTGATACAAATAATGAAATATTCTAAATTAGTCTTCCATTAGCTAATCACGAGCTAAGAAACATGATTTTTTTTATACTCCAACCACCACGAAGGCCTACGGCCTAAGCACCCATTGGGTACCGTGGGGTGATGACTTATAATAGCCGTAAAATTGTGAACAGGGTGTTCATTTGAAAACTTCCACCACGGATTAATCGAAAACCACTGATTAAAAGAAGAAAACGGCAAGACACGTCAGAAGATTTGTTAAGGAGGACAACTTTTTAACCAAAATCGACTACACCCCTTTTCACCCTTTGCCCCCAGGGTCATCCCCTTAAGAATTTTAAATAACAAGGGGATCGAGTAATAGCTCGTTTGAAAGATCTTACGAAGTCCTTTGTTTTGACGTGTGATTCTTAAGAAACGATCGATTTGTTTTCCAGAAAATTAGAAAAATCGTTATTTATCTTAGTTTGTTTTGATGATGATGATAGATACTTGTGATGGTACAGGGTGCGGCAGAGAGGACGGACGTTTTTCGGATGGGTAGTACTCTCCGCCTCCGTCTACGAGAGAGGTGGGGAGGGTGCCGTTTGATTCGTGAGATCCTAGCATTATTTTACCAGTTGTCGTTATGGAGCTTTGGAGCACCGCGTTTTCGCCTATGATTGTTTCGTCCGAAATAACGAGTCAGTCATCGTCGTACAGCGTGAGTTTCGACGTCACTTCAACATTCAGCGGAATAGAGCTGTTCCCTCTCGAAACACCATCCTTCGTTCGGTTGAATCACTTCGCAGGCGTGGTGAACTGATGAACAGAAGACCAAGAGGAGCGCCGCGAACAGTTTGAACTCCTGAAAATGTTGAACGCGTTCGACAGGTCTTTCTTCGCAGTCCGACTCGATCTGCCCGGAAACATTTTTTTATATTTATATTTATTTATTTATTAGCAGCAGATTCAACATGTATACAGTTTTTTACATCTTATTAAATATATAGACTTTACAATTGTTGTATAATATTTAAATCCAGCTATCTATTCTTAAAATTACCCACTATTGCTAATAGTTTTAGATGCACAATTGTATTCAAAATACTGTGTGTGCACCCCATTCACATTGTTAAGTGTAACTTTTTCATTGAGGTTCTTAATTCTAGTTTACAAAGAGAAAAAGAAATATAAAAATAGATCAAACAAATTCAAAGCTATTATGTTTTATCTTAAATTTTAGAAACTTATTACCTTTAATGCTACAGGTTTTTATATTACATAATTAATGGCGTATTGACTATCAATAATCCATCTTGTTAATTCCTTTTTAAC